GTTTAGCGGGGTGCTAATAAGCATGAATAAGTAAGACTGAGCAGTCAAAGCTAACTGAATATATATTTATCAAACAACAATATTTATACAAGATGCAGTATACTATAATCTAAACAATAACAATAACAATGTGTACTGCATTCCAGGAATCCAACAGGGGCGCCACAGTATGATATTATAGTCCTCCAGAGCCCGCAATTTAAAAGATTCTAAGGGTCTAAGCTGTGTTGAGCCTTATTTACGACTTGAGCTTTCTTATTCAAGCTGCATCTTATTTTCCAGAGTGGAGTTAAAAAAAAACTGGTTTAATATTCTATTTGGCAGATTTTCATGGTAGGAATTGCTGCATTCCGGGTTTTTATGAAACCAAGACTCAAAATTGAGCCTTATTCTCCATTAAAACCAACAAAGGTCGGTTTTATTTTCATTGGGCATAACTCCTTAAGTCAAGCCGAAGATCTTGCAGCTGTCAATCACGTGACAAAAGTTGTTGTCAGAGTTGGGTCGAAGCTTGGGTCTTAAAGTCAGGTTTAAGGAATTACAGCTCAAGCTGAAGTTTTTAAATCGCAGGCTCAGGAGTATTTTCAGATTTTTAAAACATGTTTTTTTGACCTTTGTACGACTACGGACAGTAATTTGATAAAGATAAGATTTCATTAAACAAACGCCTTAAGCTAAAAGATAATAACAATTTATCTATATAATAAAACAAGACATTCATATAAATATGTTGCCTATAGCCGGCCAAACGGCTGTACCGAATGGGCTGATATTTTTTTGTGGAAACTCATGGGCCTCATGTGTGTGACAAATGCTACATAAAATTTGATTTTTTTTCTCATTTTTTTTAATTCTACGGGTAAACATTTCATTTTAAATGTTTACAAACGCGGTCAAAATTCCTTAATTGATAATATGACAATCTATATATCTGTGTAAGTGTAATCAATATTAAATTTTGGAACAAAGAACCTGTAAAAACTTTCCCTGGGATATTTAGAAAGATAAAATTTCCGTGTATGATAATTGAAGGACTGCAGTATAGTTTTGGTGAATTATATTGCTACAACGTTCTCTTTGCCAGGAATGTGCACGATGGAATTTGTGAACTCTGCCAGGTATGCAAGATGCCTCTGCTGGCGAGCTGACCAAGGAGGACTCGTCCTGAACAAAGCATGAGTTAAAGGTTTGTGGTCAGTAAATATTGTGAACTCTCTACCTTCTAGCATGAATCTGAAGTGTCGAACGGATGAAAAGGCTGCCAGGAGCTCTCTGTCGAAGGCAGAGTATTTCTTCTCAGCATCGGAAAGTTTCTTAGAGAAGAAAGCCAGCGGAGCCCAGGATTCGTCGCGAAGTTGTTGTTGGAGAACAGCTCCAATGTGAGTATCTGAAGCATCCACAGACAGAGAAATTGCTGCGTTGGGTTGAGGGTGAACTAGTTCTGGAACAGCTGAGAGGAGTAGTTTGGCTCTGTTGAAAGCAGAGTTCATGAGTGGAGACCAAGAAATAGTTTTTCCAGGTCCCTTCAGAGCATCAGTGAGCGGAGCAAGAACTTGAGCTGCAGAGCGGAGAAACTTCCTGTAAAAGTTAACCATTCCGAGGAACNACTGACAGCATTCACTGAATCCAAAGCGTTTACCGATGAATTAGAAGACAAACTACTCCGGTAAATCTCGTCTGCACGTTGAGAGAGAACTGCAATATCGGCGGTTTTATCGTGAACTAAATGAGACCTGACATCAGCTGGAAGTTGCCTCAAAAACGCGTACCGCAGGAACAAACACTCCTGATGTTCTGAAGGAAGGAGAGCCCTCATCCTGGATAAGAGAGCTGAAGGGAGCATATCTCCAGACAGAGGAAGTGACATGATTGATTCACAACGTGCATAATCCGTCAGAGAATGTGTCTGTAAAAGACGAGACCGCAAAACACCATAAGGATCAGCAGTAGGCGGGCTCCTTATTATATCTACAACATTATCTATCTCGTTCTGTGGTAGAGATGCAACCACATGATGGAACTTGGTGATACTGCTGGTGATATTCTTGAGGTGGAACTGGGACTCAGCGTTGATGAACCAGGATTCGCAGCTGTCGGGCCAGAAAGCAGGCAGTTTCAGAGCAACTGCATAGAGCTGGCTGGGAGAGGAATCCACCTGGCTTGACGCGCCTGTGCTCAAAGCTGGATCTCCAGGCATCGTGACGCTGAAAAAGAAAGCACTGTCGAGCTAGGTTTTCGCTTACTGTGATAGCCTGTGGAGAAAACAGGGAGGTTGGTTCACTTTTCAGCCGAAAATAATACTAGCGAGCAAAACAGAACACTACTCAAAACACTGAGTTTTAGGTGGAAAAATACAATGCGGTGGGTTGTTTAACTTTGGACTTATAAAGAAACGTATTCACTAGTCCGGGGTCACCAATTTGGCGGATAGCAATAAGACGAGGATTTAGATAACGACTAACTATATTTTTAAATATAAAGTTACAAAGTTAGAAAAATATATATATATATCGTGGCTTCTAGAAACTCCCCTATTCTTCTCCTTGCCGCGAGAAGTTCTTCAAGCTAAGACGACTTTCATAGCCGCCACAGTACTAAGTCAGAAATATTTTTTTTTCATTTTTTTTAAAAACATCTCAAAAACCCCTATAAGAGTTTCATTTTTGATAAAACACACACTATTTCTCCACAGTGCCCTCCAGTACCCCCTGTACCCTAAGTAACCACCAGTACCCCCAGTGCACCCCAGAACCACCCATTACCCCACAGTACCCGGGAAACCCCCAAGTACCCAATAGTACCCCCAGTCCTGAAGTACCCTAAAGTACCTACAAGTACCCCCAATTACTCCCCATTACCCCCCAGTACCCTGAGGTGGCCGAAATAGACACAGTACCCCCTTAGTTACCTCCAATATACCCCTGTAAAGTCCAGTACCGTTCAGAACATTATAGAACCTTGTACCCTGAACCCCCCACCCCCACTACTCCTCAGTACCACCAAGTATCCCCAGTACCCGCAGTACCCCCCATGTACCCTACAATATCCAAAATACCCTGCCGTACCCCTACACTAATACCCCACTACCCCCCAGTACCCAGCAGTACCCTGCAGTACCATGCAGCACCTCACAGTACTCCACAGTACCACCCAGTATCCTCTATTACTCCCCAGTGCCCCCAGTACCCGCGGCAATACCCCCATATGCCACTAGTACCCCCCAGTAGTAACCAGCAGTAACCAGCAGTACCATGCAGCACCCTGCTGTACCCACAGTACCCCATAGCACCCCCACAGTACACCATAGTACCCCCACACCACAGTACACCATAGTACCATAAAATTCTCTCACAGTACCCCAAAGTACCCCACAGAACCCCACAGTACCCAGCAGTACCCTGCAGATATTGGGATTACAAATTGGCGTGGTTGCCATCCCTCCCTCCATTAAATGATTGGGATTACAAATTGGCGTGGTTGCCAGCCCTCCCTCCATTAAATGATCAGCTAATTAGTATCAAACCAGCTTTTTCGAGCATGAAAATAGTGCTTAACCATAAAGAAATATTACTTCTTCCACAAGCAGATTTGGGAATAACAAATTTATATTTTTGCCATCCCTCCTTCCAATGAATCATCAGCTGTTTAGTTTGAAACCATCAACAGAATCTCATTTTTACCGTTTTACATGAACAAAATAATGCAAAACTAGAGCAAATTGATACCCAGAAATTGTTCTATATAAATACTAAATATTTTTGTTCAAAATAAAAATTCTGTTTAGTTTGGAAAAGAAATTTTCTGTGAAAGGAAAGCAGTTAAATTTTCTTATCCGCTCTTCAAAAACTAATTTTTGAGTTTAGACCGATCTGTTTGTTATTTTAAATATTCAATTTTTTTCAGGTTCCAGGGGAATCATAAAAATTTTATTTTCTACAAGTTTTCTTTCATCAAAATATGCAATATATTGACTCTGGCAGAAGATATAAGATATTAAAGGAAGAAAAATATCAAACAGTTCGAATCTACTTTTGGCTGATATTTACTGGTCTCTTTCACTTCAAAAATGCGCATTAAATCTGTTTATAAAAAATAGATAAAACTTGATTCCAAAGTTCATCAATATTGATCACAAGGTAACATTATTTTTATACAAACACTGCTATCTCTTATCTATTATATTTAGATAAAACACTGGAAATAAACCTAAATAACTTTAGATTGAATACAAGACTGTTTTATAAAACTAAGTATTGAAATCTCCATGGCTTAAGTATGATATTGTTCTTTATAAATTTACAATACCATTTAGAAATTTTTCAATATAATAAATTTTCTTTAAACAATCCATATATAAATTTATTAGGTTATAATCTCTGTTTGTCTGCCTGTCTGTTTGTTTGTCCGATCATAACTTAGGAACCCATTGACCGATTGTGGAACTCGGTGGAACCATGGGAATGTTCATTCTAAGCCGAGTCAGTCGACATTTATCGGAAAAAATAGCTAAAATCGTAATTAACGACCAAGTGCGCGGGAAGCCGGCAGGAGTTATTCTGAGTACCCGGGTCAACGCTGGGTTCCCAAGTTTGCAATCTTTATTTACAAAATAGTAATCTCTATTTGATTGTTTGTATGTCCGATCATAACTCATGAACCCCTTGACCAATTTGCCTCAAATTTTGATTGGAGAACCCGGTAGAACCATTGGAATGTTCTTAACGTGGCTTGAAAAATTTGTGATTTTAAAGCGAAATTTTAGTTTCCAGGCAAAGCTGGGTTCCCAAGCTATCATGTAAAAACTTATAAATGTATTTATAAGTGGTGTTTTTTCCGCAAGTTAAATTCGTTTATTTGAACTTTAGGGCATTTACTTAGGTCGTCATAGTAAAGTTTCTTTACGCAATTTACTCTTGACAAAATCTGCTGAATACGTATTACAAGTCATAATCACCATGAATACAATGTTGAACATAACATCAACCTATAAACTTCTTTAGATATAGGTTTTGGAATTAGACAGGAAGGTAATAGGAAATAGGTATATCCCTGACTAGGTGTTGAGTAGGTATATACCTGACAAGGTAGTAAAGAACCAGGTGGTGTCGAGTAGGTTGACCCATAGAGAGAATGTACGGGTAAACACTCTCCCACATGCACAGCAGCTGTACAGTACACCCTTCTGTTACAATTCAGTCAATTACGGGATGTCTCAATAAATGTGAAGAATTTTTAAAATCATCCGTCTACACAACATTATTCTAAATCTATTACTAGTCGTATACTCAAAATGAAAAACAAATTCTGGGATTTTCAAAATGTGGTCTGATTGTAAAGTACTTCCAAAAATCATTGTAATTTCTGATATCCAGAAATATGTCCCAGTTATATCTATTACATATAGCCAAAATTATCAAAAATTCTTTGTCTCCATAATATAGTTATTTATATTTTTTTATTCGATTTATTGCCTCCCTGTATTAAGCCCAGTCTCTTCAAACATTTCTCTAAATGAATAAAAAAAATAATACTTTGTACTTTATGTACTTGTAAGAAGGCTTTTTTAAGATAACACTTTATTAATAATATAATTTTAAGTTTATGATTCATTCATGTCCTAATGAGTAACTGTTAAACCAAATACAGGGTGTCCAACTGAACAGTGAACATGACAGTTGACAAATGACTAGAAGATAGTCTTTCACATTTGAAATATTTTGCGGCATTCATTCGTCAACCTGCTTTTACAAGAATAATCACAAAATAACCTGGCATTTTCAAAATGTGGTCAGCGCGTTTAAAATCACCATAGATAAAATGAATTGTGTTCAATCTTGAATTTATTAAATAAATGCAAAATTGTTTTAATCTACCCAAGCTGCTAGGTGTATTGTTAGCCACAAGACCATGAATAAAAGATTAAAATTGTAAAAAAATATTGTTTATTTTAGGCTTAACTTTGTTGATCTGTGCGTGATGCAAGATAATACAATAATTTGTATATTTTGAGGACACAGGGGAATGTTAACTTTTCCCCCAGTGTTAAATTAATTATAATTATTTATACATGGATTTTCACTTTTTTAAATTGATGCTGCATACTTTAATATCTTACAAAAATGTGACTTTTTATTAATCACTCCACCCCCCCCCCTTATCAGTCCGTATATAGAAAAAAATTCTTGATTTAGTACATTTTTTAATTTTGCAGTATGATGTTTTAATAGATTAAATTACAACACAGATAGAACACTAGATGTCGTCTTTTCAAGATTTAGGGGTTTTTCGTTCACAATAACCCTGAGGCAGAGAACCAAAGGAATTACGCGCATGCTCTCTCTTGTCTTGTAATTCAACGCTACCTGCGCGGAACTCCTTTGGGCCTCTGCCTTAGGGTTTTTGTGAACGAAAAACCATCATATCTTGAAAAGAGAACTTCTAGTGTTCTATCAGAGATGAGATTTTAAAAGCTTAAACCTAAGTGAACCCCAGAGTTGGGCTCAGATAGAACCCGAGTCAGGATTGGCTCTGATTCGACCAATTAGACTGCTTAGAAAGCTTTCTCTCTGTAGCAGACAAATTGCCGGCAGATTAGCTGAGACAAGGAGATGTAAATTTCGAAAATTCGAACTTTAAGAAGATACATTATTTTTATAGTATTTTTTTTTAAACCTAAGATCAAATTTGACACTACAAATAATTCCCGAGATTTTTTTTCGAAATTTACGATCGTTTGATGCTGAAGACCCGAGCCTTAAAGAGAGAAAAACCCAAGGTGGTTGGTTTTTTGGATGTTTTAAACTAATAAAATAATCTATACATTTACATTCTTATCTTTGAGGACTAATAACTTAATTCCTAAAAACATAAATTTAAAGAGAATTAAGATTATGGAGTGTTGTTCCAAAGAGGATTAAGATTATGGATTATACAGTTAAAACTGATAAAAGTGGGGGTATCCGGATCATGTATAAAACCAAATGATAAAGATAAGAAATAAAAATAGAACAAAAAGGTATGCTAATATGCTTCTTTCTTCAAAATAGAGATATTAGATATTTATACAATATAAAAAGACATCTTAAGTAAGTATTTCCCATTAATCCCTTTCATCAGACGAAATCAAAGGGTACCATTGTAAACTGGACTACAGGGAGAAGGGCGGGGCGGAAATAAATAAAAAAAGTCACTTGGATACGGGGGACATACAGGAAGATCGAAGGGCGGGGCGGATAGAAAGGAAAGTAAATATTTACCTTGATAAGACGAACTACAGGGGGAAGGGCGGGGCGAATAGAAAGTAAAAATTTCTCAAAGGGATAAAGTGGACTCCAGGGGGACAGGCAGTTGAATAGAAAGTTAAAAGTCACTTTGATGAGGCAGAATACAGGAGAAAGGGCGGGAAGGATAGAAAGTAAAAGAAATCACCTAGATAAGGCGGACTGAAGGGGGGAAGGCGGTTGAATAGAAAGTAAAAAGTCACTTTGATGAGGCAGAATACAGGAGGAAGGGCGGGAAGGCTAGTAAAAAAATTCACCTTGATAAGGCGGACTGAAGGGGAGAAGGCGGTCGGATAGAAAGTAAAAAAGAGTCATCTACATGGCGTACAACAGGAAAAAGGATGAGGTGGGCAGAAAGTAAAATTAACTTTTAGTATGGCGGACAAGGATGGAGCGGATAGAATGTAAAATAGTAACTTTGGTAAAGCGGAATACAGAGGAGGATCGAAATTAAAATTTACCTACATACGGCGGACAAGGATGGGGCGAATAGAATTAAAAAAGTCACCTTGATACGGCAGCTTCCAGGGATTCTCCTAAAACAAAGAAGATGTTTTTAATCTTGAAAACTCCAGATACTTGTCTGTTATCTTAGCTTATTCCTTTGATCTGCCGGACAACTGAATAAGGTAAACAGAAAACACTAGAAATCAAACAAATATGACTTGATATTAAAAAATTAATAACGTATTTTAAAAACAAAATCAGCGCACATAAATACAGGATTCCCTATAAACATGGAAACTAAGTGACAACTTCTTAATCGTCTTTGTCCCGCGCGGCATTCTTTTGTAAACATTACAGTTTAAACATTTAACACCGAAAACTACTATTCTTTGTATCAGTGTGAAGAATATATTTCATTTTGATGCGGATCCAGGAAGCCAAAATGATGCGGATCCAGGAAGCCAAAATGTTGCGGATCCAATGGATCCGGATCCACTTGCTTTGAATTTCCAAAGTTATGCACCTTCAAAGTTGAAGTATATTGAAAAAGTCTACGCTTAAAATGTCAGGTATTGGGGGTTAGAAAGTTGCCACAAACTCTGAATTTTTTATTCCAATATTATTACACCTGATGTCGTATTGGATCAAATAATCTAAGTTTGAAATAATCAAAAGTTTACACCCTCAGGTTGCAAAGATATGTGGCAAAGATTCAATTCCTTTAAATATACAAATAAGAAATGCAACTAAAGAAAAGCAATACAATCTTTTAATGATCAACTCTTCCCTAAAACTGAATTTAACAGAAAATCCCCCAAAAAAATTCATGTTCTTGTTTAAATGAGAAGCACCATTTATTTTTTAAAAATTCGAGTCTTTTAAATAAAATGATTAATCTATACGAAGATAAATATTTATGATATCATCGTAAAAACAGAAACTTAAACTCCGTGATAGAGTCTCATCAGTATTTTTTTTATTTGAAATCTATTTTAAAAACAAATTCTCTATAAATATCGTGGTAATGATACTGAATTCACATTTGAACGAAGAATCTTCTTTAAAAATATGTTTGTTCACGGATAAATTAATTTTTCTTCCCGATGTCGGAACTTTTGGATTAGAAAGAACTGAGCTACTGAGCAATTGAGCTACTGAGCTACTGAACAACTGAGCTACTGAGCTACTGAGCAACTGAGCTAAAAAAATATTTCTGACACCCCTAGGCGTAGTACGTCAATATTAATCCAGATACAACTCACGTCCCTCTCGTTCGCTACATAAGGAAACAATTACTCTAATACTGTAATCAAGCAGAGTCTTATTCCAACTAATGTATATTTTGAGCTTTATGGTAAAGGTTAAATTAATGAACGTAATTAAGCTAAATCGTAATACAAGGACCGATAGGTTTTACATAGTTATTAAAAAGCGTAGTTAAGTTACAGATTATGTATAGCGTAATATATCTAGGTGTGTTCAGGTTTATAAATATGGGGTTTACTACGATATTTATTACAGCGGGATATTCTTATTTCCCTTCTATTATAATCTCTGTTGTGTGGGTTAGTGTATCGTGTATATGTGTTACCTAGTTCTACGTGTCCTCCTGGCGGAACCCAAGTTCTCGGAAATGATCTCATGTGATCAGCTCGTCGGGTCAGCAATATTCTTCTAGATTCAAACAAACATCAGCACTCATCTTAGTTTTTAATATCTAGTTTCTTCTAACATAATTCCGTTACTACAAGTTGTAGATCCATAAAAACATGTTAAAGGGACTGTTGACAAAATTTCAAGTGATCCTAAGTTTACAGAGTGGCATATCCGATCTACAACGGTACCCTTTAATCTTTTGTCCGACTTTGGTAACCTCAAGTCTTCCGGCACCCTTTATTCAGCTATGTAGGATACCTAGGTCATCCTTGCTCACACAAAGGTTTTGAGGATACCATTTGTGAATCTAACAAGCCACTCTACAAACAATTACTTGAATGTTTACTACCCCTTTAATATGGATAAAAGGACAATTACTTGAATACGTTTATAGCCCCTTTAATATGGATAACTGGACAACTTAAATACGTTTACAACCCCTTTAATGTGGATAACTGGACAACTAGAATACGTTTACAGCCCCTTTAATATGGATAACTGAACAACTTAATACGTTTACAGCCCCTTTAATATGGATAACTGGACAACTTGAATACGTTTACAACCCCTTTAATATGGATAACTGGACAACTTAAATAATGCCTCACTGATAAAAGTTCAATTTTTTTGTCTCAATATTTTCAAAATTGTTAAATTCTAAAAGAAGGTTGATAGAATTTCGACAAAAAAAACAAAAACAAAAAACAAATTGAGTTTGTTTCATTTTACACCGTGTTTAAACAACTGTGTAAGAGAAACAGTTTGGTTGTCTGTACTCTTATTTAAAAAGTAGAAAGTAAAAAAATGTTTCTAACTTAAGAAAATTTCTCTCTCAATTTTTAATTCACCGAAAGAAAATTCTGAAACTCCAACAGATCGGCTGAGAAAAAAAGTTAATGATTTATGATGAGAAATTGCTTGAAATTACCCATCAACTGACTGAAGAAGTCCAACAACACCAACATCAACTCCTCGCCCAGCAATATCAGCGGGCAATACAGCAATATCCTCCTTGTAAGCAAATATTTCAGTTAAAATAAAAGTGCTTAGAATATAAATAAGTGCAAATAGTACAAAGACTGTAATATTAATCTATTAATAGGTTGATTTTAAGCTACTGGTCACGCATGCAACCGGCGTACATTTAAATATCCGAGTTGGGTCAACCTTTGCGGTCCTAGTTTGGAGTTGGACTGTACCGCCAATTTACAATTACAATTACTAAAGCGGCAGACCTGGTGAGGCACAACTATTTGCTTTAAAACATCATCAAATACACTTAGAATGAAAGGACGTCTTCCTATTCCACCGTTTTAAGGGTCCCACTGTATATATAATGATTGAGACATTTCAAGCATCTTCAATTTTATGCTAGGCAATTCAAATAATGGAAAGGCGATTATGGAGAAACTTTTAAGATAGGACATTACATAGATAACATGTCACAAATAAACAAATAAAACAATCAACCTTCAATCCGAGGAATGTTGGGAAGACAAAGACAATTTTAACAGATTTAAGTCTTTTCAGTGGCGTAGTGAGGGGGGGGGCGAGACACCTGTGCACCCCTTAGACGTGCACCCTATAGGCCCCCCTCCCCTAGAGCCAGAGGCAGGCTCTAATATATCAAACTTACATATATAGTCTTTTCTTATCAATTGATAATGTCACAATTTTTTCATTTTATGATGATTTTCAAATTCTTTATTGTACATAATCTTATTTACAATTTGTACCTTAGGATTAAATCCTATGGCGCCATGGCCCAGAAGAAAGGATGGGGGTTCAAAATTGAAACTGTTAGACAGGGGGAGAAAAAATGGCTGAACTCCTGGTTATCTAAGGGGTTTGGCCACTAAGGTGCCATTTGAGGTAAATGGCTTATGTTCTATGCATTGTATTTATATATTCAAAACAAACCATAGGAGTACCTATAGGACCCTTATCAATCTGGTAAGTGTGCAGTGGGTTCGTGGCAGACCGCAATTGAGCTTGTCCTGTGCCTGGTGGTCCATACTTTGATCCTTGCGATCAGCCACCAGTGACGCCCTGCTTTTTTCTTTGGAATTAGTGTGATGAGACAGGCTCAACCCAAACCTCTCTTCAGATTGCTGGGGGACCATTATTTATTTGTTTATTTATTTATTTATTTATTTTACATATATTTTCTATTTTTCTTTACTTAAAAAATTGTATTTTAAAAGTTTGATGCAAACCTTAAAATATGTATATTTTCGTAAATTTCATTCCAACTAATTTTTCGAAGTGTAAATATATTTTTCAAGAGAGTTGTTATGTAAGAAATTTAATGCAATCATTTTGGTAAATACAATGTTTCAAAATTTCTACAATTTTGGAGTAAATTGATGTTTTCATTAAAATCAATGTCAGTAAATTCTCGATTTTTTGATAAATAGAAGTTGTACTTTGGTAGCCTTGGAAAAGGTATAATGGATAGTGTATGATTATGAAGTATAACAAATATTGAATACATAATTGTGGAAAATACAGACAAAATGTATGTATTTATGTTGATTTAAATGAATACAGATGAAGGAATGATGATGGTATGAATTTGTGTAGAAAAAAATTGGATTGGACTGGATTGAAAATAATTGATATCTATGAATATGGATTTAAGAAATTTGTGGAACTAGTTGTATAGATATGAAGGAAAAATGTGAATTATAGTAAACTTCTTAACATTTTGGTTTAAGAACTTGAATATGCCTTAAAAATACGTATTTTTATGTACAGGTAAAACCTATAAATTCCAAAAATTAAGATATATGTTAGGATTTATTCAATCCTAAATATACGTTGGAAAAACCTAAAAATTCCTGATTCATTGGATTTTCAGGTTTTTTACATACGCATTTTTACGTTTGTCATATACATTATTCCAAGGAAATGGTTACAAAAATACTTGTGTCATACATGTGGAAAATACGTATTTTTACGTATTCCAAACCTAAAAATACATATATATACATACAAATGTCATACATATTTATAGGTTTTCCGGTTAGTAGGAAAGGAAAGGAAATCTAGTCATAATATAATTGATATAAACTACTAGATTTATTAAAGGTATGATTGGTAATTCATGGTCAGATGACTAATAGTCTTGAGGTAGTTCAATTTAATATAGATTTTAAACTTAAATTTTTTACTTAATACAGGCTTTTTAGGGGGGTGCACAAAAAAAATTCGACGTTCCCTAAGCTAAACCTCCACTACGCCCCTGAGTCTTTTTGGTCCTAAATCTATGAAAATTTCTAATGTTTATGTGATGCTCTTTCTATATAATCTATAGTATTCCATGTATTACTTTATTCAAATTAGAATTAGAATATAAATTAAATCAATGTAATTAAAATTGTTTTTTTTTTATTATGTATGCGGAGAAATTACAATTGAATTCCTCTTATGCCTAAATTAGCCTAGTTTAAACCATAAAAAAATTTTTTTTGAACCTTTACAATTATAATTTTGTTCAAAATGTTCAATGTCCAAAATTATACAAGAAGGAAAAACAACAAATTATGAAATCAAAGAATTTAGGGAATAGTATTTTAATGGTAAAATCAGTGTAAAAAGTATTTAAGTATAGACAGGGTCACCCACAAATTATTAGACGATTTTACAGCTTTTAAAATCAAACAAAATTAACTTTATTTATTTTGTTACATCATGTATTTCCATATGCTAAATCTGATTGAAAAAAATTTGATAATCAGATAATGAAAAATTTTCAGGTCCTCAATATTTTGACAGAAACCCTGTTTTTATGAATAATTGCCGCGTGAATAAAAGACGATTTAACATAGCTGTACATGCGGGCTTTTATAATACCTGCGTCAAATGAAGAATAGGACAGAAAGGAGGATGAGAGAGAACAACTCCGGATTCTGCGACACAAAAAAGTTTGGTTAAATATTTTCTAATATCTCCCACTTGTTACAAAACAGCAACCTCAGCGAATATCTTGCTAACGATGCTAACCTACCCTGACTTGGAAAAGTGTTTGTGAATTTACACATGAAAGGGGTGGGGGGTGTTAGTTTTCACATTGAGTCAGACTTCAAATAAGTACTAAATAATTAAGCTTTCCAGTCCCGAATCCTTATTATTACGATATTGATGAGACTTGTAATCTAAAATATGTGCCAAAGATTGACCATTTAAGCTTTTAATTAAGCATCGATGAACAATTGAAAAACTATTTTTCTCCTTAAAAATTGGTTTAAAAACACTATACTGTTCAATGCACAAAGCAGTGCTTAGGATCCGGATCCGAATCCGGATCCATAAGATTTTGGCTTCCTGGTTCCGGATCCGCAAAAATTTGCGGATCTACGGATCCAGATCCAAGGGGTAAAATATCAACCAAAAACTGCAAAAAAAAATTTTACTCTGAAAACTCAAATCTGACCTATTAAAAAGAGAGAAAATATAAAAATTTCTTTATTTCTTAATGGTCCATCAAGTTTTAGTTTAAAAATACGCGAAAAAAATAAAACAAAAAATTTGAAAATTTGGCTTTGTTACAAAAAATCAGTAAATTTTAAAGAAATAACCTGGATCCGGATCAATTTTTTCCAGTGCGGATCCAGGATCCGGATCCGCGTCAAAATTAAATGGATCCTAAGCACTGCCACAAAGTACGAGACTCCAAAGATGATTTTATTTGTTTAAAGAAGACATTCCGAAAAATGCTTCAACTCAGAATTTCTTCTGGAAAAATTGGCAACCTTGATCTGAAATGATCTCTGGATTTTACGGTAGACCAGTGTGTCCTGAGTTAATTAAGTCTTTATCCTTTTATTTATGGTTCCGCATGCAATTGCAAGCTACAAGCTACCTTCTGTTTGTGACAATAACATAGATTGTCATATTTAAGCTAGGTTCGAGATTATTGTATTTATAAAGTTACAGGTCATCATAAAAGTCTCAGCCTATGTGGGTAACCCTGGAATATCATAGCTCGATGATTTCCCAAGAAAGGATTCCTTGTATTAGTGAATAAATTAGTTTCCCAATTTTGCAAAATATATTTCATAATAACCATACTATTTTCCTTTGTCAGACTTGTGGAGAATAAGAATATTGTTTTCAAGTTTACAAGAGAAGTATTCACAGTAAGGGCAACCAGAAACCGATGAAGGTGACACTGACCGGCCAAGCGCAGGTAAACCGGACCGGCAAGCGCATAAACTGAAGTGCTGAACGTCCAGGGAGTTGGTCCTGCAAGAGTCAGATGAAGCGCCCAGCAAACATTCAGTGAAGTTGACTAGCAACGGTACTCCACGCCCCTAAATCAAAAATATCTTAAAACTACAGAATATCTCAGAGAGAAATGTCGCTTTAAGCTTACTTATGTTCAAGTGGAACAGATATTTAATGTTTTAATAAGTCGATACACGCATTTATTTTAAACACGAATTAGTGCCCCATAACATGGAGTTGCATCAGGGTTGTATATTTTAAGAAATACTCCCCCCCCCCTACCTCCCTTAATAACAGATAAATTTCATTACGGAAAATCAAACAGAAACCTTTGACATCTTGGAAAAATACAAGTTTCATTTATCTTTGTTTACATAACCTTCAGAGGCATTAATTACATAAACGCGACATTTTTAAAATTCTTTCTTTGTCACTAAAAATCATGAACAAGATAAGCATTAAAATTTGACTGACCAATTGGGCCGTTTTTAATAATTTACGATTTTTTGGACTAACTCTGAAAAAAGGAAGACGACTTTTAGACCGAAGCTATTGCTTTAAATAGTTTAATGAATATGAGACACAGAAATTGAACAGTGCAAACAGACCCAGCTATTCTCTGAATAAGTAATATAAAAATTTACTACGTAGTAATCGAGCATACAATTACTAAAAGGATCTTAGATTCTCGCAATGTAAAACAGGACCTCAAAACTATGTCAATCCTTTTCTGCGACCTTTCAATGCATAATAAACAGGATTGGGCTATTTTTTTATATGATTTTTCCCTTAGATACATGGTACCCACTCAGGATTAGACTGCAGTGTGGTGACTGTAGGGAATTTCTTTTCTGACATTATTTGACATACTGCAAATTTTTTACTTGTTTCTTTCTTTGCTAATTCAAAAAGACCATTTAAAGACTAAATTCAAGGTAGAAGACATTTGGCACATTATATTTCAAGATTATTAGGTCGTCATTAAGTCTCAACATTTGTGGATAACCCTCTATCATGTTTATACTAATACCTGGACATGAACTAAAACTTTCCTAATCTGCCCAACTAATGCCATTATTTTCTAAATACAAAACCAATATTAAAATAATTTAATGCTTTTTAACAGCAAAAAAACAAATCATTATTTTGTTCTTGATACTGGATGTAAACTGTTATACAGTGAAACCCACCCCAGAGAAAAATTAAAAAATATTACAGAGGTTTTTGTTCCATGTGAGGCCTTATAGTGGTGATAGCTTGTTTGTTTGTATCCAATAAATGTAAAAACGGACTAACAGTTCGTGCCCAAATTTTTTGTGCAACCTCACACGGTCCCACCCAGAGCCCAAAACTTAAGGCAGGGTACCGTTATGAAAACCAGTTTTGAAACCAGGGTTTCACGAATGGGGTTAGGCAGTTTTATGGACATTAATAGTTTTGTTATGACATATTATTTTATTTAGTTTCTTATTATTCACCATTTTTTCAAATCTCTTGAAACAAAATCTACCAAAGGGTTAGACCCCAAAAGGAAATTCGGGAGTTTCGTTCAACGATACTGTCTTAAATTTCGGACTCAGCGAAGGTTTTTGGATGTTCAGAATATTTAAAAATTTCCATTCTTCATACTCCACGAAAACATGTAAAAAATATCGATAAATACGCGAAGTTTGTTGTTTAATAGTTTAAAAGGAGAAATTGCCACCGATTAGAGTAATATGAATAAAAGTTAAGATCGAACATTGGCGCTTTAGGCACCCTGGAATCCCTGGAAGCCTAGTTTAATAAAAACGCAAACTAGATAAAAAGGTGATAAAATATATATAACTATACAACGTTCCTAGTCAATGAACTGAATTCAATTTCGATATCTTATGGTGGTTATTTACTGAAGGAAAACTTGAATTGAAGACTTAAAGTTCTGACGTCATTCAAAGAGTCATTTATTTTTGACATACTACTAATGTACTAGCCCGTTTAATAAAGAATCAATACTTTAAAATTTTCTGTCTTGCACCCCAAAATGGTGGTGTATTTTTCCCTCTACGCAAATCCGCTATACTCCACTTCTGACCTACGCCAAATCTGCTATACTACACATCCGACCTACTAGCACGTGGTTTTAAAGCTGCTTTGTGGACTTGTGGCCGCAGCGTCCGGCCCCCTAGCCTATCCTAGCCGCGGCGCTCGGGCCCCTAGCCTGTCCTAGCCGCAGCGCTCGGCCCAGAAATTGTCTTAACCTAACCTAACTCTCAAATAATACAAAAATAAACAGCTGGCGTAGGTCCGATATTGCAGTAGGACGGAAAGCTAGTAGGTTAGAAGTTCATTACGGGGATGTTACGTAAGACAATGTAACATTACCAATAAGATATAATTCCGTTAAATGGGTCGGATTTAAAATCATTTAATTTCTTCATTAATATTGTATCTCTGTTTCACCACACAAATACAAGGATGCAGAGTAGAAAATAAGTGGAATCTCATTTTTGTCTGAAAAACATTTTGCATCATTAAAATATTTGACATTTTAACATGAAAGTACACATTACGACATAACATTGGCAAAATATTTATAAATTAAGAGTTTAAGGTGTTTATTCCCAAAATAAACCAGTTGTTTACAAACCATGCAGAGATAAGAAAACGGTTTTTACAACTTTCATATTTTAAAATCCTTCCTTAGTAATAATATATGAACGCCTGGAGTAAGGTGAAAAATAATAATAGACAATATTATTTGAGAATCAAAAATAATTTAACAGACTTTTTAAAGCATAGAAACAGAAGTTAATTATAAAATAATCTAAAGTTAATAATTACCAGATAATAACTAGGAATTATCTTTACGTCAGAATAAATAATTTATTATTGAAAAATAACTTTAAGAATAATCTTGATCTTCAAAATATTTGGCACAACGCGGAATTAATTTAAATTAATTAATTTTCATTAAATCGCATAATAAGAACTTGTTTTTATCGTATTATCAGAACAGTACATAACAGATGGACGTGTACAGTGTACAAAATTAACAACCTTAAATGTACATTGTACACAATTTTCTGCAGGAAGATAGGGTAAAAATTGTACAACGGCCAGGGAACAAGGACAGACAATTTGTACAAAGCCAAGTACTTATTGTACATAGATTTTAACTCAAATTTTTCAATTTGTCCATTTAACAATAGAAGTGAATAATGCATAGCAGGGGTATGCACTATGCATGAAGATAAACATAGACAAAGATATGCATGAGTACATAGTCTGGTTTGGGATATACATAAATAAATTGTACTATTCGAGCCTTAGATAGATGGAGTCTTGTGCAGAAGGGTTTGTTAACACTACGACAATTGTTTAAAATAATCTATAAATTATATTCTGGTCAATGTACATATTTTACTCAGGGATTGTTGTACAGTTGACATCACATAATGTTAATGTACAAAATAACTGCTTGCTACTGTACTGCTGGCGTAGCAAAATATTTAAACAAAAATATTAATAGATAGGTTTATATCACATCTAATTCCACAAAGGGGATAAAAAGTGGGAAAATATTGCTGCAAATCACAACCCTTCCCACCTCCCGGCCCTTGGAAATGGTAAAAATTACGGAACATGTTGGGTGGGTGACAGAAACGTTCAATTTTTTAAAATGAAGAAATATTTTCTTAAGTCAAACAGGAGAACAAATATACATTTTAAAGGAAGAAATATATTTTTTAAGCAAAACGGGGGGGGGGGCGAGTAAATGAATGCAAGAATATTAATCCCTGAAAATATTCTAGAATGCCGGACAATAAATAATATTCTAGTTCAACAAAGAAAGTTTCATTAATGGGATTGTAAACGACATTTTATGATATTTTCTATTTTTTTCGAGTTCCAATAAAAATAGTTTCTTAAAATATTCGATGATGGGACATTGACACCACAGAACAAGAAAAAAAATTGGTTAAATTCCAGGAAGGATAAACGCGAGTTCTACGTCATCATTTCTCAAATATAAATTTAAAGGGACTGTTATATGTATTTATCAAACCCTTTTAATGAACACTTATGATTTCGTTGAGAATCCCTTTATACATTCAACAATGTTCTAAAGTCGGAAAATTTCTGTAATCAATGAATCAATTTTTAACATAATTATAATTTCAAACAATCTCTGATAAACCTGAAATAATAAAGTTGACCCTGCATTATACAATATATGTATATGAGACACCAGGAGAGCCTGTAGGATTAACCTTCCTTACAGGTCAATAAATATAATATTTTCTTCCATTTGTTTTGACTAGATTGAGTATAAAGAAGTTTATAAAGATGATTTTTAAAATAGTACTCACAACTAAATACTAGATGCAGGGATTAACAGAAAATCTGGATTTACGAGAATAAGAAAAATAAAAAATACTTTTGCGTTACATTGTGTCATGACATGGATACTGGAAGAGTAAAGGATTATTTTCATACACTGAATTCAACCCTAATGATAATCCCAACAATCTAGAAAAATTATCATAATACTGAGTAATCAATAATCATATAAATAATCAATACCAACTAAAATCAAAACTCTTGATTTTCAATTGTGAAACGAAGGGTTTAGCTCATACCAATAATAAATCTATAAATAGTTTCACACATATATCGAATTAGTGATAATATCGGAAGAATGGAATTTTTTCGTGGTCTTAACATATACGTTTGCTCCGGAAGCCTCTAAATTTCTGTTTGACCAATTCAAACTTGAGTTTCAAAATCTTTATTTGAAGTCTGGAATAGTTCCTGGGACTCTAGGTAGGCGCTCAGATCGTCGTCTTCAGCGCTCAGCGCCAACTGTTGGGCAGTTTTTCCTGAACAAAAAAAATCAAGTCAGTGATGCGCGGATAAATCAACCAATCAATCAATTCACAAATGAATAATTCAATCAAATTAACGATCTGGAAATAAATCAGTAATGTGGGGATGACTAATTAATTTATCAATAAAAAATCAATGAACTAAAAAACAAAACGACAATCGATCAAATAAGCAATAAATCCATTAAATGAACCACGGTAAAATGTATTTATTTTTTGATTATATAATATATTAAATTCATAAAATATGTGAAGTAATAAAGCACGATTATGAGTGATTTTGATTAAAAATACATTATTAAAGATTTGTGCCCCAAACCAGTCTTCTGAAGCTCAAAAATAATCCTTTCTTTTTTAAATTTACCTGAAGAATCCTCTATAATAAGGTTGGCGCCTGCAGTCACTGAAATGTAGAAAATATTATTTAAAACTGGAAAATGAAATAATAATGAAGTAATACAATAGGCTTTTTATTACCTAGCATGCAACAGATGGTTCTGCGCTTGTATGCCGCGGCTTTATGTAAAGCAGTGTGTCCCTTCTCATAATCAGTCATGTCAATCAAAGTAGGAGGGCCGTTCATCACTAAGAACTTAATTATCTCTTTATGTCCAAACCTAAAATGAAAGAGTTAAAAGGGTGAAATCAATTTAAATTGACACTCATAATGTTATCTGCAAAATTTAATTTCTATATGTTATCTGCAAAATAGGACTTCTGCATGTTCATATCAAATCAAATCAAGAAGCAAAATCTACAAAATAAGATTTCTTAATGTTTTCTGCAAAATGAAATAAATACAGATAAGAGTTTTTCAAAATCAATAACCTTGCACCATAGTGAAGTGCTGTTTTCCCTGTTTCGTCCCTAGAGAGTAGAGAATATCCTTCAGTACACAATTCACGTAGCATCTTTAAATCCCCTAAATAATAATAATTAATAATAAGGATAAAAATAAAAATAATAATAAAAATAATAGTAAAATAATAATAATTAAAAAAATAATAATTTTCTTTATCACTTTTCCCCCCAATTCAGCGAAAAATACTGAATATTTATTAACCTCCACGCAAGCATTCATGATTTCCGAGAAAAAAAAGATTTTTGAGAAATATACAGTAAACCCCCGTCTTGACTATAATGATTATTTTCTTGTCATGTATTTACCTAGCCGAGCTGCCTTTAGGATCCCATCTGTAGTTTTCAGGGAGTCATCATCAGGAGGTGTGAGACCAAAGGTTGGAACAGAAGCATCAATTCCACCACGCTCTTTAAGAGCTCCAACTCTGCAACATCATCAACATCATCAACATCATCAACATCATCAACATCATCAACATCATCAACATCATCAACATCATCAACATCATCACCATCATCACCATCATCACCATCATCTTCATCATCACCATCATCACCATCATCACCATCATCACCATTATCAACATCATCATCATTATCAACGTTATCAGCGTTATCAACGTAACCATTAACATCATCAACATCATCGACATCTCGCATCATCAACATCATCAACACCATCAACATCATCAACATCATCAACATCATCAACATCATCAACATCATTAACATCATCAACATCATTAACATCATCAACATCATCAACATCATCAACATCATCAACATCATCAACATCATCAACATCATCAACATCATCAACATCATCAACATCATTAACATCATCAACATCATCAACATCATCAACATCATCAACATCATTAACATCATCAACATCATTAAAATCATCACTGTCATCAACATCATCAACATCATCAAATTTTAAAATTGTAGTAATTTATATTTTCATCATAGAACGACGTAAAATATCAAACTCTGCAAGACTCTTTATGTTTATGAATGCCATCTAATAGCATTCATAAACTATTCTGACCTAATAAATAATTTCGTGCCAGTAAGAATCGAGTCTTTGGTTGGAAACTTAACTGACCTTTTCTGGTGATTTTCTTCCTCATCTAGCAGTTCATTGTCTGATGATGGTTGAGTGGTAGGTAATCTATCCTCGTGGAGTGGGTCTCCAGGTATAGGGGTGAGTGGGGACCGGGGTGGAGTCATCAGATCTTCAGGGAGTAGATTAGAGAGGTTACTCTGAATATCCTAGTTCATCCATCCACTCGTTTATTTAGATTAATTGCAACCAAATACGCAGATTAAAAATCAAAATACATGGAAAATTTAAAATTGAAAATTGTCTGGAAAATTGATAATGAATTTTTGATAAACAAACAATTAAAGTAATAAATGAAAACATGAGCAAATGAGCAAATGAGCAAATGAGCAAATGAACAAATGAACAAATGAACAAATGAACAAAAGAACAAATGAACAAATGAACAAATGAACAAATGAACAAATGAACAAATGAACAGATGAAAAAATGGACAAATAAACAATAAAGAAATGAACAGATGAACAAATAAATAAATGAAGAAATAACAAGTAATACAAAATGGGTGAGTTAATTAAATGATATGAAAATGAAAGGTTGAATAAAAAAAATGAATAAACAAATCAATGAATAAACTTAATAACACATGAATAAAAAAAGATTAAAAAATGTAAACAAAAATGAATAATTTTATGAAAAAATTAAGAAAAATAAATGAAAGGATGAATATTTGCCTCGACTATTTCCTCTGTCTCAAGAATATACAAGGTGTTCTCACAAATGTCCGGCAAGAAATGTAAATTTTCTTGTGCCCTGTCCACCCTGTATAATTGGTTAGCGATAATGTTTGATATTATTTAAATTAATTAAGTTAATGCCTAATTAAACTCTTAAAAATCGAGTTAAATAATGGATTGTTAAAATTATTTTTAATATTTTACTCCTGAAAGAGATGCAGCAAAAAGTGTGTAAACATGATATTCTGTAAACTTGCAGTTTGTTGTACGTCATAATCTTTGTATCCTAATGAAACCTACCTGATAATCTTTGTTTTCTACTGAAACCTACCTAATAAACTTTGTTTCTTACTGAAACTCACCTAAAAATCTTTGTATCCTACAGAAACCTACCTCATAATCTTTGTTTCTTACTGAAACCTACCTGATAATTCTTGTTTTTCTAATGAAACCTACCATATAATCTTTGTATCCTAATAAACCTACCTGATCATCATTGTTTTCTACTGAAACCTAGAAAAAATCTTAGTTTTTAATGAAACCTACCTTATAAACTTTGTGTCTTACTGAAACTCACCAATAATCTTTGTATCCTACTGAAACCTACCTAATAATCTTTGTTTCTTACTGAAACCTACCTAGAAATCTTTGTTTTATTACTTAAACCTAACTAAAAAATCCAAGTTTTTTTCTGACACCTAGCTAAAAATCTTTGTTTCTTACTGACACCTAGCTAAAAATCTTTTTTCTTACTCACACCAACATAAAAATCTTTGTCTCTTACAGAAACCTACCTAAAAATGTTTGTTTCTTATTGACACCCACCTAAAAATCTTTGTTTCTTACTGACACCTACATAAAATCTTTTTCTCTTACAGAAACCTAGCTACCAACATACAAATTTTTGTCTCTTACAGAAACCTAACTAAAAATCTTTGTTTCTTATTCACACCCACGTAAAAATCTGACACCCGTCTAAAAATTGTTGTTTCTTACTGATATCTAACTAAAAAGCTTTGTTTCTTACTGATCCCTAAATTAAAAGCTTTGTTTCTTACTGACACCCACCTAATAATCATTGTTTGTTACTGATTTCTAACTAAAAAAGGTTAGTTTCTTACTGACACGCACCTAAAACTGGTTGTTTCTTACTGACACCTACCTAAACAGCATTGTTTCTTACTGACACCTAACTAAAAATCTTTGTTTGTTACTGACACCCACCTAAAAATGGTTGTTTCTTGAGGACACCTACCTAAAAATCGTTGTTTCTTACTGAAACCTAACTAAAAAGCGTTGTTTCTTCCTGAAACCCACCTAAAAAGCTTTGTTTCTTACCGACACCTACCTGAAAAATCTCTCGGCAGTAACTGAGTCTAGGAAACACCATTCCGACTGAAGCTTGGATTGTACAGGACCAATATTGTTTTCTTGTAGTTTTCTAACTAGGGACCGAACCTAAAATAAAGGAAAAATATAAACTACTGAACAAAACAAGATTTGTAAATAATTGAAAAGAGAACATTAGGATTAAAATCATGCCAAGAATAACAGTTGAGTTAGGAAATACTCTGGGACCGAATATAATGAATTTGCGGGGTGGCTGAACTGATTACCGCCTGTCTAAATTTAAATCACCGATTCAAATAATTTCTAAATCTTCAGCTTGGACTCGATGGTTCAAATTTGTACCGGCAGTTGGTAGTTCAGTAACGTAGCTAAACTTCATTAAATTCGGTCCGAGACCATATTAGATTTACACAATTAAATATTGATGACATATAATATTGCAAAAGCGACATCTCAACATAATCTACCATCAAATTCCACTAAATAGATTTAGTAAATTCTCTCAGATTAGTTTAATTTTAGCTGTAGCTAATCTTAGGGGGTGGAGGGTCAAACTTTATTGTCACTTAAGAGATATGAAGTAGATTTACTGTAATAACAAACCAGTTCTTGAAATTTCCTATTTCAACGTATAAATACTTCTAAAATGAAATGTATCCTATTTGTAAAATTATATTTTCAGTCATACTCATATATGTATTAAAAACGGAGTAAAATACTTTGAATACTTAAATATTTTTAATATATATGTATACTGTATAGAAGGATGAAATACCAAATACGAAAATCTACATTTAACAGGTAAAAACCAGTTGGTACTTTATAATAGAAAGTACGATGACGGTCTGGGTCCTCTAAACTGGGGGGCTTTCAGATCTTTCTCCTGATTCCTGATGTAGTATAAGAATAAGAAGAAAAATCTGAAAAGACCCACGAAATGGAATCCCCAGATTGTCATCGGAAGTGAGGAACTAATCCCCCTTCCGTTCAACAGAGCCCATAGCCAGAAGACTGCACCATCTAGCGAGCTAAGTAGGTACCACCGGTGGATGGCCAACCAACTAACCCGTTGGTAAATTTTGAAAATAATTGTTTTCCTCTCTTAATTGCGAAAAATAAATGATTTACAGAGGAAAATAAATGAATTTGTGTTAAAAGTGTTAAAAAGAATGAAAAACTTTTCGTTTTGATGTCCCATTTTAAACTTTTTACTCCCAAATCATGGAACCCCCCCCCCCCTCCCCCGACGGAAAATTCTGGAAAATATACACCACTGTATCCTATTGAGGTTGGCCCTATAAAACAGGAGTTCGATTAAACGGCAGTTTTCGTGGGAAATACCTGTTCTAAGTCAGCTGTTGATTCTACATTGAGTTCACCGAAAGGTTTTGCTAACGATTTCAGCTGATCCTTAAACACAAACATAGGCCTTAAACATTTTTCGGCTTTCTTTAGCTGGGAGGGAGGGGGTTAACTATACCAACATTCAGGCCCGTCGCTAGAAATTTGTAAAGGGGGGGGCAAACGAATTAGAAATTGCATAGTTAGATAAGTAAGGGGCGCGCCCCTGGCGAAATTTTTTTTGACTTGAAAAACTCAATAGGGATAAAAATTAATGAATGTGTAGACTACCTAACTAGATTTTTAACTTATCGCACACTATAGTTTATTAAGATAGATATTTTGGCTGTGCCCCCCCTAGCTACGGGCCTGCCAACAAACAATCTGTTCTATTAATTTATTGACTTGGTGATCAAGATTATCAAGTAATAAAATAAGAAAAAAATAACACTCACAATTTCTCAACCTCTGTGAGAGATTTGCATGCGGAACATTAAACGCATATTTTCACAAGAAAAGTGTTCAAAATCTGTCTTAAAAAATACTTTCTTATAAATTCTGACATCTTTAGGTTTGAATTTTTTCGAAATTTTGATTATTAACCTTATTTGAAGAAAATCTGTGATTTACCTTGTTACAATGGTACACCTCGTAGTCCACCATAGATATCTTGGAAACTCCAATCCTGAGCAGAGCACAGGGTAGACCTGTACTCCGAACCTTACTCCCACTCTGCCTCTTCACAAGCATTTTGGCCTGGTTCAGGTACCTACACGGTATACAGGAGATAGATAGATAGGATCGATAGATGAACAGATGGTTGAAACAAATCAAGTCATCTCTATAATAGACACTGACAAACCTTATCTTTACAATAGACACTAACAAACCTAATATTTACAATAGACTAACTAACCTTTTATTTAAATCAGACACTAACTAACCTTTTCTATACAAGTAACCTAATCTCTACAATAGAAGTAACCTTATTCTACAATAGACACTAACTAATCTTATCTTTATAATAGATAATAACAAACCTTTTCTCTACAATAGATACAAACTAATCTTATCTCTATAATAGATACTAACAAACCTTTTCTCTACAGTAGACACTAACTAACCTTTTCTCTACAACTGACAATAACTAACCTTATCTCTACAAAAGAAACTAACCTTATTTCTACAATAGACACTAACTAACCTTAATCTCTATAATAGACACAAAAAACCTTATCTCTACAAAAGAAACTAACCTTATCTCTACAATAGACACTAACTAACCTTGTCTTTATGACTGACACTAACTAACCTCATCTCTACAAAAGACACTAACTAAACTTATCTCTACAAAAAGACACTAACCTTGTCTCATTATAGACACTAACTAACCTTACCTCTACAATAGACACTAACTAACCTTATCTCTACAATAGACACTAACCTTATCTCTACAATAGACACTAACCTTATCTCTACAATAGACACTAACCTTATCTCTATAACAGAAGGATTAACTCTGACAGCCTCTCCGTCCACTTGCATAGGTATTGTCTTCATTGTTGTTATTCGAGCAGTCTACAACATCAACAACAAATATCAAATCAAATCAAAACAATTATGACAAATCAAATAAATCAAATCAAAACAAATCTTATAAAAATCATATCAAACCAAATCAAAGCGAACCAACCCAAATCCTTTCATATCAGATCGCCACGGATGAAATGTTTTTTTTAAGACTGAAAAATTCTGACTATTTCACATGATCATCTTCAATAATAATAATATGGATCATAAAAATAAGATTCATGCTTTAAATTACGATGTTTAATGTACACTATACTAAGTATACAAATACACGACTATTTGTATCATGTTTTATCCCAGATTCCAAACAATGTTTTGTTTCCTATAAAGTTGTTAAAAATCCCAACTGACATTGTGTAATACAATATTTTGTTTGATATCAATGTTGTTAAATATCCCACCTGACATTGTGTAATACAATGTTTTGTTTGATATCAATGTTGTTAAATATCCCACCTGACATTGTGTAATACAATGTTTTGTTTGCTATCAATGTTGGTAAATATCCCACCTGACATTGTGTAATACAGTGTCCATGACCTCCAGCGAGTAGAAGCGGGAACTGATATGTCGTCACACCAATAACCTCCAGCAGTCCGTCGTCCAGACGCTGCTCGCCGAATTGACGATTCCAAGGACGGGTCCCGGACGAATAATGATGAATGTTGAGAAAAATGACCGCCAGGACTTTCAGCTCACGGAGCTTAGGCGTTATATCCCGTCCGTCACATTCGACCCGGATATAGTCCGTCAAAGATTTCCATTTCCGGAGAATTAAATCTTTACCTCCGGTCTGTCCGTAGAATATTTTGTTCCGGATCCTGAACACACAATCAGAACCATAATTTAATATTTATTTTTTTAATTTAAACATTCAGAAAAATGTCTGGCCGCAGAATTCAGTTAAAAACTTTGATAAAACATTGATATTGAAAGTGAAATTATTTGGACATTATTTATATCAATCTCAATTTAGTGGAGTTTTCTATTCGAATTGACAAATATTCAAAATAAAATTTGGATGTTTTTCAAGAGACTTGTTTTTCAATTTAGATGGCCCATAATCCATCCTTAGGTTCATGTGAGATCCCACACAAAATTTGGGCCGAATCCATGGGAGTTGTAATGATTTTTTTCTTAGTTAATTAATAATATGATTCTTTCCTAGAGTTGAACTTCTGAGGATTGGCCTCTCTGGCCTCGTGAAACTGGAGAGCTATGAGGGCGTCCACACCCAGGGAAAAGTAATTATTCACCACCTAAACATAAGTTGAGTAATTATTCACCAACTAAATATATGTTGAGTATTGTTCATCACCTAAATATATGTTGAGTGATTCTTAACCACCTAAAAGTATTTTGAGTAATTGTTCACCACTAAATTAATTTTGAGTAATTACAAACCACCAAAATATGTAGAGTCATTTTTTACCACTTAAATGTATGTTGAGTAATTGTTCATCACCTAAAAATATGTTGAGTAATTGTTCACCACCTAAATATAAGTTGAGTAATTATTTTTCCCCACCTAAAATATTTTGAGTAATTGCTCCACACCTAGAAATATGATAGGTAATTATTTTTCACCACCTAAAAATATGCAGAGTGTTGTTCACCACCTAAAAATGTGCAGAGAAATGTTCACCACCTAAAACTATGCTGTGCAACTGTTCTCCACCAAAATATATGTTGATTAATTTTTCACCACCTAAAAACATTTTAAGAAACTAATCATCACATAGAAATTTTTGAGTAATGTTTCAACATATAAAATCTGATAAGTAATTGATGGTCATCACCCATTAAAATGTTAAGTAATTAGTCATAACCAAGAACTAAGTTAATTTTTCTCATTTTCTAAATGTTCGGTTTTTTCANGCTGACCTGCATGGGTAGCCGGTCCTCTCCCTTATCACTGGGCGGATATTCTGGATTAGGTTGATGAGAGAGCTGCCATCGGTCAACATTGATTATATCTAACATACCAATACAATTTTAAAACTAGGCATGAAAATGTTTTTTTTTTAAATAACAACATCTTTTTATTTTAATTTACATTTCAAAAATAACTTTAAAACAAGATTAAAAAATTATATCAAAATTTTTCAAAAATTTAATATTTTTTTGTTAAGATAAAATCAATATTTATTGCAATAGATTTTAACGGCATTTTTCTTCCAATGATTGCAATGAAATGTAATTAATTTTTGAAAAATCGGAAAAATATTAAAATTGTTTCCTGCGTGTTGTAGGGAGATAAGAATTTTACTAATCGGTTCATCAGTATACCCTCCACCCCAACCCAGGGTCCGGGATAGATCATTCCCAGTTCCTAGGGGTAGCACACCCACTGGAGGTGGGGACGGGACATCAGCCTAAACAAATAAGATTTTAACTTTTACAAAATTGGATCATCAGAATTTTATCTTTTTTATTTTGTTCAGTATTTGGTCATTAAACAGAGATAAATATATGACAACAAAATGCAAATTTTATTCACCCTTTGTTATACTTTTAACTCTAAAATTTATTTATGTTCCATAATTTTCAAACATTTTCAAACATTTTGCAAAAAGTTGGGGGTGGGTGGGGGGAAGTTTAAGCAAAGAATACAACCACAGTATGGAGGATAATTTACCTTATCTAGTACGGATAGAACCCAACCTACTGTCCCATCTCCGCCACACGCCAGGAACCTAAATTTATATAAAATGAAATTTAAGCAACTGTGTTCCAATGCAATATGGCTGAGCTGTAAATAATCAAAATATGACCAAAGAGGGAGAAGTAAAAAAGTTAATACGAATGAAAGGAGAGGAGGAAAAATATGTAATCCCAGAAAAGCAGAAAACGGAAAGAAAATTCAGCTAGAAATGTCTTCCTCAAAACTTGCCTAGAAAATCAAAAAAGTGAAAAGAATTCAATTTTGTTTGAATTTTCTTCCTTGGAGTTTCTTAAAAATTGAATGAAAGGTTAGATTGAACTCTCTTCCGCAAAAATTTACATGGCAATTTATAACAGAGAATTAAGCTTAAATTTACTTCAGCATACATGCCCGAGAAAATAAAAAAAAAAAAATAGAGAAAAACGCATCAAATAAGATTGTAAAACGAAGTACAACGTAGGAGAAAAAATTCCGATGAAGTCTAAATCTGGGACCATTTTTTAAATGGCTGGACGAATCCAGAGATGGAAAAAATCCTTACTCCTTAGCATTGCATTGGTCAGGGTATTGTTACAAATATTATCATGATCATTAGGTCGATAAATCTCGAACTATTATTTACCTGACTCCAGGAACACGTTTATATAGTTCTATTGCAGGAAGAGGTCCAGATTGACTAAGATCAAAAACCTAAAAAAAAGATTTGGTAAATCCCAAAAAGTAATATTAATGACAATTTAAAGTATTAATTATTGCATTATGAATTCTTTAAGGGGCATGTTTAAGCAGGAGCTAAATGAGTGTGCTTACAAGATGGCGTTTACCCAGTACCCACCTGCAATGCAAGCATGAAGCTTCAGTGACGGCGTTAGTCAATCATAGTATTTCTTTAATTTCTAGTTTACTACAGTTTTTCTACGGTATGAATATTTAGGATGGGGGAATAAAGTTTACTTAAACACTCTGTGTTTTGTGTACGTGCAGGTGAAGAAAGGAGAAAAAGATAAACATATAGAATAATTCAATAATAGCTTGGGAACGAAGCGTTCCCCAGGTTACTTATCGTTACTCTCGCCGTTTACCCACACGTTGTTGTGAATTATGATTTTAGATATTTTTCAAAACCAAGCTAAGAACATTCCCGTGGCTTTCCCGAGTTCCCTAATCAAAATTATTTGAGGCAAATCGGTCCATGGGTTCCTGAAATTTTTAAACCCCTGAATTTTTGAGAAAAATCAGTCAAGGGAATCCTGCGTTATGATCGAGACAAACAGTCAGCCAGACAGACTAACAAACAGAGATTACAACTTTAAATATATAGATAAATGCCTTGTACCATTTTATTTGTAAAAATCATAATAAATTATTGTTAAAATAATAACATTTTTCACCTGTCTAGGGTTCAGGAGCCACTGAAATTTTTGCATGAGTTTCTCTCCCTGGTTTCCCCCACTCTTAGGGTTTAAAAACACTATGACCGGACACCCGTGAGCTACAGGAATAGGTTTGAGGAGGAAGGTTGGGTGTTCCTTATAAAAAGTTGTAATCATCTTTTGTCTAGTTTAAATAAGAATAAAAGGGATTGTATTGAAGCATTGTTTTGATAGATCATTATTTACCGGATGTTGTTTCATTATAAGAAAGGCAAAAGTATTAGATTTTTTAAGATGTGCCTATAGATATGCCTAGGAATTTGATTGAAAGTATTTCACAATGTTTACATCTAAAACTATGTTAGCCATTAAATGTGTGTCTTTCTTTAATACTATTCAAGCAAGTTCTAAGCGTTGCAGTAGATTTCTTTTAAATTTATGCAAAAATGATCTTAACACAGTTCTTGGCAGAAATTTATTTTCCAAATCAAATGATTGTTTAGTAAATCTATCTGATCTTAGTAAAATCTTAGTTATGAAACAAATGAAATATTTTGATGTTTCATTAGACAAAAAAATTCCGATTTCACAAGAACTATTAAATACAAGAATGAATAATTTATGTTGAAGAATTGATGGTTACGTAATAACTGAAATGATGAATATGTTATGGAATGATCAATGTCGCATATTTGTGCATAATTTTGCATGTTTGTTTTTCTTTTGTAAAACTATATATTCAAAACAAATTTTAACTACACCATTTATATATGTATGTATATCTTTGTGTGTAAATAAATCTTTATAATAATAATAATGTTTTCCCCTTCAAATAGTTTTAGTGTTTTGTGCGCTAAATTGTGAAAATTAAATGACTTTTTGGTGAATACTGAATATACATGAATTGAAGGGTATAAGTATATGTAGGATGATGTCCATTAATATTTTATGAGACAGTGACAACTTCTTTCCTTTGGCACTTTGGTAGCTTGTTCGGTGCGCACTTTTTCACAAATTTGGAGTCTATGTTCGCCACTGCGCTTAGGGGAATTTTTGATGCTGGATTTAAAGGATCCCTTCCGAGGGAGCTTTATAATCCAGGACGGAGGGATTATGATACCTACTCAAGGATTCAAACTTTCATTATTAGGAATTTAACTATAGACAATTAGAAATCTTAAAAGGAAAAATTTAAATAAATCCTAGAATAAAATAAACATTATTAAAAAAGCTGATTGTCTGCTAGATTGATTTAGTTATTGATTGATTGAATCCACGAGTTCCTGAGTGTACTCCGAGATCACAGACTGGATTGGATACGACAAGAGCGCGGCATGTGTCAGAGTTGTGCAGCGCTAGCTTACACCAGGAGCAGTTGATACCAACAGCTGCACTGCTAAACTTGGAACCGAGCTTGGATTGGAAGTTTTTGTGGCAAGATATACACTTCCCTTTCATCTGCTTCCTGGACCAAATATTCATGTAACAATATAAGCTTACGCTAAGATAACTTTTTCGAACAATAAAGCTTTTTGTGTTCATAATGATACTTTTGTGTTCATAATGATTTTTTTGTGTTCATAATGATTTTTTTGTGTTCATAATGATTTTTTTGTCTTAGTTCCAAGAATACTAACTAATATTATTAACTAGCTTGAGTGCCCGGCTTTGCTCAACTTTATATTATAGTTCCTATTCATAGTTACTCCCGCCGTTAACCTGCACTTGATTTTAAATAATGAATTAAGCAGAAGTGCCCAACAGTGACCATGGGGTCCCTGCCTTCATATTTGTTTCAAATCTTCCATTTTTTTTTGGCTACACGCCCAATTAAAAATGAATAAATTTCCTAATGACCCAATGGTGATGAACATCCGTTTGTTCACGATACTTCCTCACACACTCTCTAAATACAATAATAATAATGATAATTAGGAAAATAAGGATAATTAGGATAATAAGGATAATAATAATAATAATGAAAATATGATTATCTTATGAGGAAACAAATGTAATAAAGTAAATTCTTAAACGAGATGAAATAATCGTGATGTATTCTTTCATGAAGGCCGCATGATCTGAGAATCTCCAAGGAACTGAGTGCCTCCAAGGAACAGGGGACCTCCTCTGAGCTGGGAACATTAATAAATTTTCTCTTCAAATCCTTCCATACTTGACGCTATGTTTTAGTAGAGTCATTTCACCGATTTGAACTACTCAAAGGTGTTTTCAGGGAAACAGCACTATATATTAAACACAGAGACTAAGCAATGTGTAAAAATGTTGAGCATAAATCTTGTAGGTTTCAGCGTTACGACTGTAAGGAATGACCATGTAAAAGATTAAGGGTATATCTTTATTGCTTCAGGTATTTTTCCACTAAAAATGTGACAAGATGAGTTTTACATATATATCATAAAAAAACATTTTTCTAAATATACAGTTGTTACATCTAAATGGGTTCAGCTACCACTGATTTACCATAGATATGGGAGTACATTGTGAGCTCCAATGTTTACAAATATAAAACCAGAATAAACTTTGTAAGATGTTGCAACTATTATATGATCAAAAGTAAAACCAAAAACCTTCCATTTGTTCGGAAACAATCTCCGACTTACAAAACAAAGTATTAGATTCATTAATTGTATTGCAGTTGTTTGATCCAGTTGATCAAGAGTGATAACCCCGAGTTCTTGAGGCTCCAAAATATGATTGTCTCACAAACACAAGCAGGTCAATAAACAGAACTTATTGCAATTTTTTCATTTGAAGAAGATAATTGATGTTGTAACATGATTTAAACTGATTGATCTTTAAATGCGAACAGGACTGATACAAAATATCTTTACCAGGGTATCTACAGTTAGATCCTACATCTTATGTTCACCCATCTACACCTCAGTCAGATTTAACAAAGATCTCACATTGATCTAATGGGATCTCACAGTGATCTACAGCACACAGCTAGTCTGGAAAACCTCTCAGGCATTGTTTAAATCTAACATAAGATTAACAATTTTTCCTGTGATGGCAGATAGAATCTGAGGACGACTTTTTTATCGTTTATGTGCTACATATTACTAATGCACTTGAGGGATTGTATCTAGATCAATTATAGAAGGTGAATACTTCTGAATATCAATAATTATCCTTTAAAAGAATAAGATGGTTTCTGACCTGAATTCAAACTAATTCAGGAATATCCTAATCTACATGCTTTCATTCTACAGAATCAGGGAAGAATTGCAGTTCGCAGTGTTCACAGAATACACTTTAAAGATTATTATCTAATAAACATAATATACATCAACTCTGTAATATCCTTAATGAAAACAGTTGTATATAGTTCTTTACATTGGCAGGAGAATCCTTTTATCTGGTCGTAACATTTCACCAGAGATCACATTTTGAAATGTTGGATTCTAATGTATTCTGCCAAATAACTTTATCTGGTCACAACATTTTACCATTCATCACATTTTATAAATATATCATGCTAATTATGTTTATATTTTCAGCTTCACAGCTTAATGTTGATCAAGAAATATACTCTAAAACTAAAGACTTGATTTCTGTGTATGGGTTGGCATGTAAAAAATACATTGGTTAGAAATAGTAATGCACTTCTATTGTTCCGACACTGAAAATTAAATTGAGAAGACTCTAAAAGTTGAAAAGTGCACACATGAGAAGGGAAGTTTGCATGTTTTAATAAAGTAAAAAAGGTAAGGGAGCATGTTGTCAGTACAAAATAACTAGTTAATATCAATATTGATCTATGTTGAAATTATCAATATAAGGAGCAGCGTGTGTAAGAATGAATTTTTTTCAACAAGTGTAATAGTTTCCATTCTTTAATGCTGCGCTCGGAGCGTGTAAGAATATACATTCTTTCACACTCTGATTGTGTAATAATTTCTATTCATAAATGGGCTGAGCGTTAAAGAATTAAAATTCTGCACCTACGTCCTACAGTGTAAGAATAAGCATTCATTAATGCTAGGATGCCAAAAATATGGAAATTTCTTCTCCTGAACTGTGTAATAATGTTAATTCTTACTCAATAGCTTTACAACTATGGAACCTAACAGATATGATATAATAAGGATAATAAGGATAATAAGGATAATGAGGATAATAATAATAATGATGATAATAAGGATAATAATACTATAATGATAATAGGGATAATAAGGATAAAAATGAAGAAAATGATGATCATGATAATAAGGATTATAAGGATAATAAGGATAATAAGGATAATTAGGATAATTAGGATAATAATGATAAAAATAATAATAAGGATAATGTATGCAGAAAAATCAAGTGAGATAATTTATCGAATTTTTTTTTTAACCGGTAAAAACGACAACATCTTCCTCGCTATTCTCAGACGATTAGAGGTTACTGTTGTTAACAAGGCATGCACCTTTTTGGATAAATAGTCACTCCAAATTAAGACGACGGTTCTGTAAGCATAAACAATGTTCTTTCTAATTCTTCACATATTTAATTTCTCAGATAAAATTTCAAAAAATTTATGAAATTTTGAATAAGAGAAAAAGTCACCTGAAGGTTAGCTTACAAGGAAACACACTATTTAAGGCAGAGATACAACCTGAAATCAGTAAAATATTGCAGTAAAGAAAAATCTAAGGAGCTGAAGATCTAACAAGTAAATCAATCAATAGAAATTCTAATAAGAAATTACAGGATTGAGTAAGCTATTACGATATTTTACTTTTCAGTTTTGTTAACAAAGTGTATTAGTGACTTTAGCGTAGTTTGTCAGCTGATGTGGAAATTAAAAGGAAAAATTGTGTGTGCAATTTAATAACTTTTTATAGTGGGGGTGTGGGAAGGGAGGTAATTGTTGTTTAATTGATACCTTGATGTGCGATAGTTCTGCAGGCAACGCATTTAAACTTCATCCCTGAACAGTTCATAATATTACAAAACTCAAGAAATGTTTAATATAAACATGAAGATAAGAATCGTGCAGATTTATGAAAGACAAGCTGATGTCCTCTTTTGGACAATTTTCTTGACGAGCTGGATGTTTTCCTTTATTAAATTTCGCAAAAATTAGTTCTGTCCATTGATTAAAAAAAAATACTAAGTTGAACCATGAAATTTTACCATTAGAACATGTTCCCTGAAATATGCCCCCCCCCCCCCTGCAAGAGTAGTGCAAACCCTGGAAATCGGCTCTTGTTCGAAGACAACATTCATATTACTACTTAATCTTTGTATTAAACCTAAAAATTATGATGTAAAATTATGATGATGTGTAACTGTTCACCATGAACAACTGAACTCTTATTTAAATAATTTCATAATTGTTCCTTGCTGAAAATCTGCACTTTAGATATTTAATTTGGTAAAGTCACTTGACCTAACGTCATCGTTTAACTTAAGTTTTGCTTTCTAGTTGTTTTGTTAAATTTTAAGAATATGACGTTTTACTATTTGCATTTTATAATTTTATGCAAATAAAGTAATTCAAATAAACTCCTGTATAGTGTTGGTAGCCCTTATGCCGTAATCTTTTTTCTACTTACTACATTTGGAAGCAAACATGTTATAAACATAAACAATTGTCGAAATATTTAATAGCTCAAACAACAGTAGGTCGGACATTTTAGCATCTTGTTCGATAAATTCTAGCAGCATAGATTATATGTCGTCGTGCTTATACCAGTGCCAATCAGGGTTTGCAAAACTCTTGCATGGTGCCAATCCCCCCCCCCCCCCCAAAAAAAGTTGTCAAAATATCTATCATGTGGCATCCAAATGTTAGCTGATAACTAATGAATGTCCCTGAATGCAAACAATCTTGTGCCAGATAACAGCTTTGTACACTCCCAGAAGTCGGGACAAAAATGTGCGCGTTAGGACTCGCGCAATCGCTCCAGTCTGTAATCCCGAGCGCAACTGGGGAACAAGGATCGTCATCGTTGGAGTTTTCCATCATCGAGATCTCACCGTCGCTTCCCCGCCGTGGAACCATTTCTAGGGAATGAAAACATTGATAGTGTTATTGTTCGTTTTTTTTCTGGGGACATCATTTTCATAATTTTTAACGAGACTGACAGTTAGTCGTAAGCGTACATTCAAGAAACCTCTTAAAAAACAAATGGGGAATGTTCTAACTAAAATAGTGCTCCTAAAACAGTTGACTGATCATACTCATAGAGGGAAAAGAACCCCGGGTGTTTATCTCTAAAATAATGCTCAATATGACCAAGGCGACTAAATTTATGATTTTCTTGGCTACTTTTTAAGAATAAATATTAATAATTTTTTAATATAAAACAGCATACAATCAAAGTGTTATAATATTTACAAGCGTTTCTGTAAAAACAAGTTAAGAAGCCCGTCATCCTTAATCAGTCAAAGATTTTAAGTGTACTGTAGTGAATAGAGCTCACAACTCTTCAAATGTAAGGTCACTTTTAAGTCCCTTAAACAAAATTTCCGAAAATGAATCAAAGCTGATGTACCAACATATAATTTTTTCAAAACCTTGAGAACTTTTGCACATTGGCATAAATCAAATCTTTCAATGTTTTTTCACTTATCATTAACAATAAATTGTTAAAATATCGTACCCTCCTCCGTGGGAGAGGGAAGGGATTGATTGCTCACCCTCCTGGATCCAACACTACCCAAGGGAACAACCTGGGTACAAGTTTTGGTTAGATGGTTAGATACTTACTGTATACAGATCACAGGGGGAAATATTTTTAAAAGATTTTGAAATAAAAAATGGAAATCAATTGGCGATTTTTTTCCTCACAAAAAAGCACACAGGAAATAATTTTTCTAGAAAACTTAAACCTGCGTGTTATCTTATAAACAGTGCGTAGGATCATACTCATACAATGAAAAGTAGTCTCAATTCATGGATTTTTTTGCTAAAAAGAAATGAAGAAATGACACGAAAAAAACACAATCTTTTATTTCAACTAATTATATTTCTTTAATTAAAATTTATCATAAATGCGTAAATGCTAAAATATCAAACTCTGAATTAATTTCTAGAAAAGGAAAAGTCATTTTTGTGTTCTCGGATCTTTTTACCGGAAGGATCTGAATCCGCATCAAAATTGGATGGATCCTAAGCATTAGTTTCAAGGTTAATATAAGCTAAGCTAGGTCGTTAGATAGTTAGATGGTTAAATAAAAAATTAATTTCTTGAAGCATCCTCGCCATCGCCTACAATCAGAAAACAAGAAAGCATGCTATAATTACATTTAAAACCATTTCCGGACATTTCCGGAACCAATTATTACCTGTCCATCTGAAGCCGATTTTCTAATTGTGGAGAGCGGAAGTGTCTGGTCAGGAAGTGGAACTAAACTAGAGGAACCTGAAACAGGTTTCACTATTTATGTACTTGGTCATAGGTTGAAGGGATATCTTACTTTACTCGGTAAATATCTTTTAAGGATTAATTAACTCTATCCCACTTTTAGCAGGTGAGTAATTACCCTACAAAAAAAGATGACAAGACAAGTATTAAATAAAATCTCATATCTCAACCCTTTACCAGGCATATAAGCATTTTTCTATCAAATAATGAAAACTAAAAATACTTTCTTTTTTTACTTAAGAAAACGAATCAAAATCGCAAATTATTGAAACTCTAAATCCGATTTCTTTTGAACCTGTATAAAATTCAGCAGACAATAAATAAAGTGCGGTCCGAAAAATTTAAAAGATCAAATCTTAAGATGTATAGAAGATTGTGCGTTAAATAATATATTAACAATAAATCAAAAAAGATTTTTTTTTAAGTTCACAGCTTGAGAATTCAGATTTGCCTTGAGTATTCCCATTAAAAGTCAACCCAGTGAATTTAGAATTTTCTAACAAAGCTAAAAACATTCCTGTGGTTCTATGGAATTCCGTCCCCATTCAAAATTTGAGACAAATCGGTCAAGGGGTTTATAAGTTAAGATTGGACATCCAACTACTTAATATATATATATATATATATATATATATAGAAATAAAATATGCAAATCAGAAATATTTCACTAAATAGCTCGAGTTACATCCATTAATGTTTCCAGAGTAAAGCCTAGCTTGTTATTCATACAAGTAAAAACAAAATAATGAACTTTTCTTACTCATGTACCATGTACCATGTACCATGTACCATGTACCATGTACCATGTACCATGTACCATGTACCATGTACCATGTACCATGTACCATGTACCATGTACCATGCACCATGTACCATGTACCAAACACAAGTTTCAATTTCTTAAAAAAAAGTTAGTCATAGATACAAAGGTGGGTTTATGTCTCGAGTAGATAATAACATTAAAATGATTTTTATCTAAATCCTGAGCAAAAAAAACATTGATAATATTTCATTTCCGCAGAGTGATATTTGGGACCAACCAGAGAAATATATACATGAACAGGATATCACATCAAAAAAATGTTATAAAAACATTTGTCGTTTAAAGTCAATATTTGTATGTTCTAATTTGAACTAAATAACCAGGAATAATATAAATTAATTGATCATTTTAGAGTCGTCTTTAACTTTAGCAACATTTTATGGCGCGTTCTTTGTAGATAACTTGATTTTATTAATATTTTTAATGAACCATTAATCACTAAATAGCCCTAATCTTACCATTTCCAAAATGTGGTTTGCCATAAAATGTGGTTTACCATATAAAATGTATTTAATTATGTATAAACCTGATGGTGCTGACAGCATTATCAGGAGTCGTCACTGCAGGATCTTCAAAACATTGAACAAATATGATGATCAACAACGTATATTCGCCATTTAATCTTTAAACTTTCAATTTTTATTTAATTAGAGGTAAAAAGCCCATCTTATTTATAAAAAAACAAGACATTCATATAATTGTTGCCTATTACCTGCCAAAAGGCTGGAGCGAATGGGCTGAAATTTGTGTGGACACTCATGGCGTTTTTTTCAAATATTTTTTTTTCAAATTTTTTTTCCCCTTTAGCTAGTATCTTTTCTATTCATTTAAAAATTTGTTTTGTTCAAGAACCTGCAGCTGAAGATGGGAGATCAGTACTCCCCCTCTCTCTAACCTACATGAGTGTCTTAAGCAGTACACATCCCAGCACCTTCATGCACGCATAGGTAACATTTCCCCACTGCTTCAAGCTCTTCTATTCCCTGCATACCATACATTTCAGAAACAAATTTATAATTTAATAATCAGCCTTTTTGGTCGCCATAGATTTTTTTCGATTATATTGATGTCATTATTACACCAAAGATAACTCATTAGGAACGTTCTTATTAATCGTGATCAAACTAATATTTTCTCAATAAAGACAATTTTAGACAATTTCCTGCAAGTTTAGTGGATTTTGGAAATCATTTTCCTTCATACTTAATGATATAAAATTTTTAATCGTTATTTAGAACTTATTACTTATACTTCAAAATAATGTAACAGTGGGCGAGTTTTGTTGATCTTTTACGATCAGCAATTCAAGGATTTTTTGGATCGCTGGGATCATAGCTACCAAGGGGAATCATGCCCCCTTCCCCCCCCCCCATCTTTAACCCTACGGTTGGACTTTAGAGTCCTATTTTGAATCCTAACGGATTTATTTGATTTAAATGTAATTTTGTAAACCGGAAGACATTTGACGATGTGTGCAGTGGCCAAATCGACCACCAACAATCCTGTCCTAGTCGCGGCGATCGGCGGCTCCGTTATAGCATGTTTTACAGCTCGGGCTCCTTAGTCTGTTCTAGTTGCATCGGAGACTTCGTCTTAAACTAACCCGCGAGTATAATAAATTATACTAATTTTATGTTGAAAATTCATTTTAGATGCATGTATAAAAAATTGCCAGGCGGGTGAGGGGGGGGGACCAAACAACGTTCTCTAGAACAGCTTCAAAAGTTTTTTTTTCTGCAAAAGGATGGCCGGGGTTTCTCAGGACCATAGTAAACAATTTTGTGCTACAGAGCGTCCCATATCATATTAGATTATCTCCAATCTTTAGCGCAAAAATACGCAAATAATACTCAACAAATCTAGCATTTTCTGCAAAAAAAATTTTCTATTAGCCTTATTAAATTTTTCAAAATGATTCATTCTTCTTAAATTTTCTGATTTATCCCGCAAATTGTAATTTAGACCCATTGCCGCGATCTAATTTGATGTGGGACACCATGAATATTCAATGTAGGTAATTTTATTTATTTATGCCCCCCCCCCCTCCTATCAATTTTGAACATGGATCTCAAATGTATCACATGGATATAATTCGTCCTGTGGCCGCAGTGCCCGACCTCCTAACCTGTCCTAGCTGCAGCGCTCGGGCCCGGCCCCCTAGCCTGTCCTAGCCGTAGTGCTCGGCCCAGAAATTGTCTTAACCTAACCTAACCTTAAAATAATAAAAAATAAGTAATACAATTTTTGCTAAAAATAAGTGGTCATGTACAAAATTGATAGGAGGGGGGGGGGGGTCTAAAAATCGTTCTCCAGGACAGACCCTTGATGTAATTATATATCATTTGTGTGTATTTTTCGTCAAGGGTCCGTCCTAGGGAACGATTTTTGGAACCCCCCCCTTTCAATTTTGTTCATGAAGAAATTAGTAAATTAGTATTTATTTATTATTATTTAGAGTTAGGTTAGGTTAAGACACTTTCTGGGCCGAGCGCTGCGGCTAGGACAGGATAGGGGGCCTAACGCTGCGGCCACGGGTTAGGTTAACTCAGACGTAATTACAGACGTAAGTAAAATTGATCGAATTAAATGAATTGACAAGTACCTAATTCACCTAATAACAATAAAACTTTTAAATAATTGGAGGTGTCACCTGATCTAAGTAATGTTAGATATCTGTTATCTCGTTTATGAAATTTTTATAGAATTTTTACATCGAATCATATTTACACTTTCTGGTTTCTGACTTATTCAAAAATTTCACTTTCACGCAGTTTTAATATTTCAATCATTAATTCACATTGTGCTGGTCTCTGAAAAAAGAAAATGATAATCAATAAGTCACGAATTTAACTTGAATAATTCAAGTTTATGAGAGATTTTGGAGGATTTACCCTTAGGGAGAGTATCCTATAGCTCAATGCCACTTTAATATTTGTATAGAAGGAGTGGTCGTCTTTACCACAGCTTTCTTCCTTTCACTGGAACCTGCCTAGCAGACAAGGGTTCGATACTAATCTAATATTATACAATACATTTCTCATCAATTGGATTATTAAAGCGGATACAGGGTATAGAGGGGCCGCTATTGTTTTATCTCAATGGCACAACCATGTTACTATGTAATTATCTTTCTATCTATTGTAAAAATTATTGTTCTTGTTACACCACCTCCTTATATATGAACATACTATTGGGATTTCTAATGTGGGGGGGGGGGGGCATTGGGACCGTTTCTGAATAACAATTCAGGGGGGCAAGAGGTGCATATGCTGCACTTCTACGCGGGGGCACAGGTTATATAATTGTGGACAGGGGCGGCTTGTGATCGATTATTTTCCAGGCAGGGGGGGGCACTGCAGGTGGAACTATAGTGGGGACCGAGCTTCGCCCCCCCCCCCCTCCCTTAATTGACTCCAGCATCTTCATGATCCATATCTTTTTTAATAAATTTTGTCAATAAAGAAAAAGTACTGAAATTTTTCTTTGGCGCTTCGCGCATCATTTCTAATAGAATGTTTACTATTTTCTCGTTTTCGACTTACAGAAAGTCAGTCAGTCTTAATTTATCCTCTCTAAAACAATGTTTATATGTTACTTCGCAGACTTCTCATGAGTATTACAAAACATAAACCATTTTAGGTTACACAAAACCTAACAACCTAGGAAGAATAATAAGAAATGTATTAAGGATTATATCAGACTTTTAGGATTTTAGCAGACTATAAGAGGAAAACAGGGTAAGCACTTTACTGGAAAACAAGAACAGAGGGACTTCGATCAGAATGTATAGTATGGCTTAATGAACAGCCGAAATATATATGTCAAGTACTGTCAGGAACTATAACTTATGTGGACAATTATGACTAGTGGATGAATTACAAAAAAATTGCTGTAGACTGTAGATCTGTAATAGGGGACTTTTTGTACAAAGTGAATTTAACTTAGCCCGGGACTAACTGACACTAAGAAATACACGAAAAGACCCTTATAGAAGAACCGAATTTTTCGGCGATTCGCGCATGTTTAATTTACTAATTGTCGATCATGTCAAAGCTGTTGGAAGTACATATATTTTATAAACACAAAAATAAGCCATGGATATTATAAGAATTTGGTATATTATTGAGCACAGAGCCAAACAATTAACCCTTCAACAATTAAAAAATTATGTTTTTTTTTACTTCAAACCCTGAATTTTCAGCGGTTTTTATTAAAATTTTTTTTTCTCGCAATATCAGGAATTATTAAGCAGAAATGTGCAAAAACAAAAACAAAAATATGATAAATTATAAATTCAAGTATACAAAAATATTTTCAAAACTTTAAAACTAACCGTGCATTCAATCTAAAACTGAAAACTAAAAATTTGCAAATTCCCTTTAAAGGCATTTGTGAAAAAAATCTATGCACAAATGGGCCAACCAATCAAAACAACCAACTCTGGTTAAGCGGGTCCAAACTATATAGTAATTATTGTGATTTTTTATTTGTATTATCTCGTGCTTTGTAGTTGAATAAAAAATTAATGAAAGAAGTTTCTTCACACAATTTTTGAAATCTTCTTCCTTTTGTTCAAGGCTTTTAAAAGAGCCGAGACTCCGTGGATATGATCCTGTTGGAGAGGTTGTGGATGTGGTTGATCAGTGTGCCGCAGATCAGACATCCCTGTTGTAGGCAGGGTGAATTTCTGGTGCATGTTTCCTGAGGTTCCTGGAGAGGGGTCTCAGTGTTGGTAGGTTCGATTAATCCATGGATATATTTCTGTTGTAGAGATTTAAAGACATCCATTTTAGATAAGTTTAGGATCAGGTGGTTTAAAATATTGAAACAATTACAAGGCGCTGGTGATCAGGTTCTACGGTTCAGAGATTTAACAATTGCCCATTTTTTAATGAAAAAACTAAACAAAATATTATAAAATAAATAAATAGACGACAGTTTAATTGTTTTCTCTAAACAGAAATGTAATAAAAAGGTCTATTTTTAAATTTTATATTTTCTTTTATGTAAATTTAGTATACAAGAACGATACAATAATTTGTTGATACTGCTATTTGGTATTAAAAATGTAAAACAATTTGATTTTAACAGAAATATTTTATATATACATAAAAATGTTTTAACTAAAAGAAAAATATTCTATGATGACAAACGAAAATAGAAAACATTAGGAATTCCATTTGACGGAATATCTGCTCCAAACATGAAAACTTTTTATTAATCTATAAAAATTGACTAAAATAACTGATGAGTTGAGTTCCGTTACACTGTAAACTGTATAATTTAAAAATATGGAGCTTTTAGTTGTTTTATCTGAAAATTTAAATGGCAGTCACACATTTGTTCTTCTACAAAATAGCAAAAAAAAAACAAAGTATTTCTCATAAAATCTCAGAAAAAAAGGATAAAAGGGGGTTCCTCAGCTCCTCAATCTTAAGATATTTTCCAGAACCCGGTTCCTGATTCGACATTCTAAAAAATTGAGAAAAAAATAAGATTTTGACTTAAAGGAACTGAGTTGTTGCCGCAAACTCATTTTCTAATCCCTTTATCTTTTTGCTACCAGATGGTGTAAACCTTTGATATTTCAAACAAAGCTAGACTATTTGATCTTGGAGAATTTATAGTTTGAAAAATCAAAGGTCTATAACATGGGGTTATAAAGATAAGGGGGTTGGAAAATCTGTGTTTGTGTCAAAAACTCAGTTCCATTGAGATTATGAGGCGTGACAGCTATGAATCAGAACTGAACACTTGGAAAGTTTTCGTTGTTAATCTCAAAATGAAAACTTTTATAAACATATAAAGCAGAAACGTTTTTCGTAAATAAACAGAAATAAATTTAATAGATCAATACACCAAAAATTTCACAGATTTTTCATATCCAGAGCCTAGAAAGGTTTGAAAATATTGCAATGATGAATATAACTCATTACAGGCTGTCCCACGAAACATGACAGTTAGATATGTGAAAGATGTATTTCGGCTAAAATCACAATAAATACATTTTAAATTGTATAAATTACTAGCTGAAGGGCCCGGCGTTACTCGTGGAAAAAAAATTTACAAAATAAAAATCGAACTTTTATTACCCTATTAAACCCCCCGGCCGCCCATGAGTGTCCACGAAAAATTCCAGCCAAATCGGTCCAGCCGTTTGGCCGGCTATACGCAACATATATATGAATGTCTTGTTTTATTATACAGATAAATAAATGATTACTATAGCCAAGGCTACAGCCTAATCATTCTGGGAATACTAGCTTTGAATGACTTCTTTCATACACTTGATTATTAAATAAAAAACTCTTTGCAGTTCATTTCCTTGACATGTTTTTATCAAATATATTTTACCTTGAAATCAATATGACTGACATGTAATATTTAAAATATTCTCTTTGGTATCAAATAACTTAACAAATTATATATTGAAGAAGACATTTAAAACTATTAACAAACTGCCATGTTTCGTGGGACAATCTGTGTCAAAGCGTAGTAAAATTAGTACCATTATATTGCAAAAATAATATTTTGTGGCGAATGCTTGTTTTCTTTAATTACCTAACGGAACTCCACACTCTGGGCATCTAGTCACTTCACTACGAGAAATACAAACATCACACAGCAGATGACCTGCAGTTTTGAGGATTGTATTTAGAAAAATAAATCAATAAACTTCCAACATTTCAAAACTGTGTTATGCCAAAGTTTGCTTTTATTTAACTTTGCAATATCTTTATCTAAAAAAGAAAAATTTGAAAAACGATTCAAAAACGATCGTTACAACACGTTCGTTTTTGCATCGTTTTTAAATCATTTTAGGTCGGTTTTTTGCTTTTATCTTCCGTCAGGGTCAAAATCTGACATAGATATAAAATCAAATGTTCAGAATAAAAAAATTCTAAAACATTTGATATTCTTTCACTGCCAAAATTTAACCCTGAAAGAAAATATAGACAAAAAAAACGAAAAAATGAACTAACAGAATACACATTGCACACCCTGCATGCAGTACATGGAGATCCATACAATAGAATAGGATTGTCATTGATAGGACTGGGCACGTTCAGATTTTATTCAAGCCGTTAAAATTGTTTTTCTCTTATCATAGAGTGGAAACTAGAACAATGGAACGTTTGTAGTCTTCTTTATTTGTATTGTGAAATGATGATAGTATTTTGGCATTTACAATAGATTTATTTCTAAATATGTGCCAGACCATTTAATCATGTTACTAACAACAAAATTGTTTGTGACATTTCCCAATAAAAGAAAGAAAGAAGACGACAATCATTCAAGAGTATTATAAATTTGAATTATCTCTCTATAAATCTACTTGATTAATGTCGATTGTCGAAAGAAAATGTGATGAAACCTGACTAAATACAGAATAACAGATTAACCTGCTAAATGGGATATCAGGGTTAACCAGTAAAACTTGTTTTTGTACTAACCCAGAACTTTGAAGAAATCTAAAGAATTCATAAAATGACGTTGTCTTAACCTACTGATAACGGAATGCTGCATATATTCAGTTTTTTTTATTGAATAATTATATGGAGCCATTTAAACTGTTCCCGTATATTTTATGGCTATTTATTTATTTTTACAATTACCAAGATTTAGGTATAATAGTATAAAACCTAATGCATAATGGCCGAGACGACACTTTATAAATTCTTTTGATGGCTCCGAATATCTGGGTTAAATTGTGGACTAATTTACAAAGGATGATGGCTGACCGTTTGTACCCTAAAGATGGCTAACCTTGTGTATACTAAAAATAAGATAGCTGACCTTGTTTTTACTAAAACTAAGATGGTTGACCTTGTGTACACTAAAAAAATTGCTGGCAATATGTACACTGGAAAAAAATAAGGCTGACCTTGTGTAGACTAAAAAATAAGATGGCTGACCTTGTGAACACTAAAATTTAGATAGCTGACCTTGTGTAAACTAAAAAATAAGATGACTAATTGTGTACACTAAAAAAAAGATGGCTTACCTTGTGAACACTAAAAATAAGATGGCTGACCTTGTGTACATTAAAAATAATATGGCTGACCTTATGTACACTAAAAAATAAGATGGCTGACCTTTTGTGCACTAAAAAATAAGATGGCTTACCTTGTGAACATTGGTAAATATGAGAAGATGGCGGCTCCCAGCAAATAATGCAACGAATACTTTCTATAAAACAAAATCACAATGAGCTTTATTTCATAATACGAGCCCCCCTCCCCTCCCTGGTAAACTTGTGCTCCCCCTTTTAAGAAAAATCGGTACCTTTTTTAACTGTATTAAGGTAAACTATTCGATTATATACACACTTCCATATTACAAGTGTTTATAAATTATTTATAGAATTTTCTTAAGTGGACTTATCAGAAACTCCTTCTTAACTATACTGTGATACATCGGACATGGCACTCGGATGTTCAATGATTATTGCTTTAAGAGTCTTACCTGTAAAATTTGTTTGACAAATAAAACTATTTCAAAGACCAAAGAAGACCTCAAAGTTGTCTTTAATCTGTCATGCTTAGTAGGTTACTCTGTACATTAGAATATACCTGGAGATAATACAGTGTTGCTTATTTGTACATTTTTCTCCTTAGTTTCGTCTTCAGTAAAAAGTTGTCCTTTTAGAACTAAAGAAATAAAAAATAATTGAATTTTAGTTCGAATACAAAAAACTGGATCTTAGACCGAATGCAAAAAATGAACTTTTGTTAAAGTACAACAAAAAATTAATTTTATTTAAAATACAAAACATTGAATTTTACAAAGTTTGAATTTTAGTTTGAATACAAAAAATCAATTTTAGTTCGAATACAAAAATTTATTTTTAGTTCAAAAACAAAAAATTATATTTTAGTAAGAAAAAAATAAAATTTAGTTAGAATACAAACAATTGAAGTTTGGTTCTAATACAAAAAAATTTTATTTTTGCATTTAAGTTTTAATACAAATCTGAATTTTAGCTTGAATAAACAAATTTTATCTTAGTTCGAAAACAAACAATTGAAGTTTAGTTCCAATACAAAAAAAGAAGTTTAGTTTAAAAAAAATAGAAATTTAGCTTAATAAAAAATTACCAAAATGTTGATGCTCCAAACTCTGAAGTAGCTTTTCGGCTCTTTCACGCTCTTCTTCTAGATTTTTTACCAACTTACGCGCCTTCTCTATATTAAAGCTGTTTATTTTTAAAAGCCTGCTGATTGAAGGATTGACAGATCTGTTATGCTTGTTCTCCATATTCTCCTTTATCAGTGTTTCCTTCTGCTTAAGTTCAATTTCTTGCCTTCTTTTCCTGAAAATACGTTTTAAATGAAGGAAAAAGTGATCTGAGCTGGGAACTTTAGAATGGTGGATATCGGGATTAATGCTTGATTCACTCTTTTTCTTAATCCCCAGATTAAATATTGCTTGTTCTCCTCATGAATTTAATCTTCAGATTAATTAACAGATCGGGATTAAGGATATCAGATTCTAAAGTTTTCAGCGCTGAACTTTAAATTGACGACCCAAAATTGTCATAAACCAAAATTTTAAGAACTACCAAATACGAAATACAATTACAAATACCAACATCACCTGTTAAGGAACATTATTGTACTATCTTGGGAACCCAACTTTGCCAGGAAAATAAGTTTGTTGTTTGTTTGATTATATGTCCGATCATAATTCATGGACCCCAGGATCGATTTCCATCAAATTTTGATTGGTCAACTTGGTAGAACCACGGGATAGGTCTTAGCTTGGTTTCAAAATTTTTAGTTGAGTAGAGAAACTCCGGGCAAAGTTTGGTTTCCAAACTAGATATTCAGGTTTACCCACTAAGGATGAGACTGTTAAAGACGACCTGGAACTCTTCAAATATGACAATCCCAGGGTTATATTAAGTCCTATGCCTTCAATATAGTCTCATATGAATATAAAGCTATGAATATATGGAAACAGTATAAATTCCGAAGAGTCGTCCCTGAAGTCTCATCCTTTATGGGTACCCTTTAGAATATATATATAGATGCAGGAGTTACTCGTGAGGTTAACCTGACAGAGAGTTGAATGACAACGATGAACCCCTCCCTGTTCCCCATCTTCCTGGCCAGCTGCATAGCTGTCAAACCACAGCTGTTTTCCAGGTTCACATCAGCACCGCTCTTCAATAGTAGGACAGCTGTTGTATAGCTGTCATGAAGAACTGTAAATAAATTAAACTAAGAAATGAGCCATTTTTTATTATCTTTCTCAAAACTCTTTGGTTCCGCTTATACCTCTTCTAACGTTTTAAAATCGCACAAAATTGATGACTTTTTAAAGGAAAATATCAAAACCAGTGGAAAAGTACCATGTTGAAATCCCGTTTTTATATCCTCAACCCTTAGTCTAAAAATGCGGTGTAAACTGTTAAAAATAAGGAAAATTTAAGCCTGTCAAATAGAAGAAATGGTTTATCCCACAAATGAAGGAAAAGGTTTAACCTGTTAAATGGAGGAAAAGGTTTAATCTGTTAAATGGGGGAAAAGGTTTAACCTGCTGAATATAAGAAAGGTTTAACCTGCTGAATATAGGAAAGGTTTAACCTGCTGAATATAGGAAAGTTTTAACCTGCTGAATGGAGGAAAAGGTTTAACGGAGGAAAAGGTTTAGCCTTCTAAGAAAAGGAGTAAAGGTTTAACCTGTTATGTGGAGGATAAGTTTTAACCTGCTAAATATAGGAAAGTATTTTCCTGTTGATGAAGGAAAAGGTTTAACCTTCTAAATGGAGGAGAAGGTTTAATTCGATAAATGGATGAAAACGTTTAACCTGCTAAATGGATAAAAAGGTTTAATCTGCTAAATGGAGGAAAAGGTTTAACCTGCTAAGTGGAAGAAAAGGATTAACCTGCAAAGTAGAGGAAAAGGTTTAACCTGCAAAGTAGAGGAAAAGGTTTAACGTGCGACGTGGAAAAAAGGGATTAACAGGTAAAGTAGAGGAAAAGGATTAACCTGCAAAGTACAGGAAAAGGATTAACCTGCTAAATGGAGGAAAAGGATTAACATGCAAAGTTGAGGAAAAGGATTAAACTGCAAAGTAGAGGAAAATGATTAACCTGCAAAGTAGAGCAAAAGGTTTAACCCGCGAGGTGTCGGAAAAGGTTTAACCTGCAAAGTGGAAGAGAAGGATTAACCTGCAAAGTGGAGGAAAAGGATTAACCTGCAAAGAAGAGGAAAAAGATTAACCTGCAAAGTGGAGGAAAAGGATTAACCTACAAAGTAGAGGAAGAGGATTAACTCGCAAAGTGGAGGATAAGGATTAACCTGCAAAGTAGAGTAAAAGGATTAACCTGCAAAGTGGAGGAAAACGATTACCCTGCAAATTAGAGGAAAAGGATTAACCTGCAATGAAGAGGAAAAGGATTAACCTGCAAAGTGGAGTAACGAGTTCTTAGTATTGTTCTCACACATATTTACATCTCCACCTAAATAAAAACCCATTAATCCAAGGGGTGTTTATCTTAAATGAATATATTCTTTAAAGGAACTGTGACTTATATAGAGTTAAATGTCTGTTTCACATTGGTACCCTTAAAAGCTTTGTCTGGTCGGAAATGCACAACTTCCATGAATTATCTTTTTAAAAATTGTATTTTCAATTATGGTTTCTCTATAAAAGTGAATTTGTATTTCTTGCATCAGAAATAAAAGAGAACGCTGAAAAATTAAAACTTTAAAAACAACGAAAACGACGATATCGTATTTTTTTGATCAAATACAGGGTTAAAGCCAGGGTACCGCTGTGAATCGGGCATTCCCCCTCTTCTTGTTTTCATAGAAAGGTAACATAAATTTTCAACGACAGACTGTTAAACTTTTTATGTTTTTGGGTTCTTGATAATTTTAGGCGACATCAAAAAAAAATATTTTGGAGAAAAGGGAACAAACGGGGACAAATTTGTAATATAAGAAATATAGATTTTTGGGAAATTATCAAACCAGGAGTCTGGAATGTCTCCGCCCCAGGGGGCAGCTTTGTCGGAAAAGAAAAGAAAAGTTTATACAGAGGCGAATACACGAGGGGCTATGGGGGCTAACCCCCCCCCCTGAACCAGTGAAACCTATTGATNTGCACAATTCCTGTATACGCCCCTGAGTGTATGTTAACCCATGTAGATAGCAAAGAATGTTACCTGAACTAAGATATTGCCTGACTGCTTGCGTATTCCCAGCAGCTATAGATTGAAAAACATAATTGACACAATCCATCCTGTTCTCTGACCCATTCTGGTTTTCGTCCATTCTTAATTTCTAAACATGTAGATAATTTATACTATTACAGTCTCCTATCAAAACAAATTTATTCACTTGTGACTTCACTGTTTCATTGTAAACACTTATTAGATTATTTATTAATTCGCTAAGTCCCGGATTGGGTACAATGAAAAGGCTTTTGATTATCTTCAGACCCAAAGTGCAGTTTGCAATGTGATCTATAATGCAAAGATCAATGTTGCCTCTTGTTTATTATGGTATATTTAAATCCCCAAAACAGCTGATGATGTTTGATATACGCTCTACCTCTCAAGGGAAAATTTTTTTTGATTATAAACTGGAAAAGAAGTAAAATTACATAATTTCTGATTTTAATGTTGTTCGAATTTAATTATTTTGTGAAAAAGTTAAAACCCTGTTGTGCGTATTTTCCTTTCCGACGCTAGCGGTTTTAGCGACTGAAATTAGAACTAGATATTATACTGAAATGATCTTAACTATACTGACTTAAAAGATTTTTTAATTAATATTGAGCATTGAATAAAAAATCTTAAAACTTTCTGCTTTTCCGAGATTTATTTTTTGGTAAATTACCCTTCACAAATAGCAATAGGTCCGATAAATAAAACGGTTTCGTTTGATCAATAATCATCTTCTCTAATGGTCGTCTTTGTATGTCAGCTGTCCTTGCGTAATTTTAAAATTTGTGAAATTTTAAACAGAAGAATCAAACTTGCAGTTTCAGACGATTAGACTAGATGCTATGGCCATCGTAATAAATCTAGCAATGTGTTCAAGATG